GTTTTTGAAAATTTGTCTCTGTGTATGAAAGATATGAACACGCTTCTATACATGTCTTGATATTTTTTGACGTGATTTGTACTAGTTATTTGTAGCAGGAATGTTACTAGTGCCGGGAGAAGTTGGGAAGGTAGCGGCTTGATAAATTTTCGTGAGCAACGAGTTTACGAAGCAAGTTCCGCCTAGCTCGAGCGATACAGCTCCGCGGATACAACTCGAGCCCCGAACAAGACCCTCCCCCCGTAAAGTTTCGGCCGCTCTGGTCGGCCGCGGGCCGCTCGTAGAAGCAAACGCAGACTCGTGCACTAGAAATCTGCACAGGAGGCTAAGAAAGAAGCAGTTTTCAGATCCAGAAAGCTAGCAGAAATTTGTCTGAAGTTCGTCAGAAGAAATGAGCCGGTGAAGTTTGTGAGAAAATGTAACGGAGCTTACTTGTTTTTCTGAAAATTTAGACGAAAGTAGCCGGCGCAAAAATTTGAAAATTTTGACGAAAGTAGCCGGCGCAATAATTTAAGTAGGCGGCGATTTTCGCCGGTAGCCGGCTTGTTTTGAGAAGGCTGAGGCCTAGCAAAAAAAATGTTGTGTTTCCTGTTTCAGTACTGAAAAAATTAGGGTCGGTAAGTAGGGATTATCTTTTTCCGTTTTTCTTTTTTTTTTAGACTTTGGCGATCCCTAGTGATCCAACTTATACCAAGGTGCTCCTTGCTTATACAACACAGTTTAACATAGTAAAACTTGCATGACAACACTTGTATTTCAATGTCAATGTTAGAAAACCGATTGTACAACGTTTCATCACTCAGGTACCAGATCATGGAGCAAGAAAAGGTTGATCAGCTAAACAAATTGCCCCTTGCATTGCAGGGATCCACACAAAAGAAGGCCATGGTCGGCATTTTTTTCCAAGGCCTGATATGAAATAACAGTTGTACATTTGGGGAGTAGAAGAGACATTTACAAAGTACATTCATCATGACTTTCCTACCCTGTTCAGAAGAGATGACCTTTCTGGTTGTCAGGACGACACCCCTGAGTGCAGCGCCCGTTGTCGGCAGTTTCCGTGGAGAGCCGTGCTCAGACGACTCATCAGAAGAGTGGGCTAAAGGCAGAGAACAAGGCATAAATACCAGACCTAAGACCTGAAACATGTTGCGTTTCTTAAAATCAGTTTTCAACATCGTTCTGAGTAAAGTTTTGAACTGTGGGTGATTGGGGAAAGTTCCAACAAAAGTTAATCATTGCAAACCAAGTTTGATGTGTAATTTCTAACACAAAAAATTACACCCAAATTTTCAACGTCACAGACATTCCTTGAGTCTTGACAAGGACTTGAGTTTTACATTTGAAAATTTGGGTAAGTCCAATTTCTTTTGTAAAAAAATACAAAACTTGCTTCATAATGACTTTGCCAATACATACTAACTTTCAAGATAAAAAAGTTAATCATCATCACAAGGGTAGGATAATACTTTCCGAACCATAGGTTAAATGTTGTTGCGTACCTTCCTCAAATGGGTTGATGACCACAGGTGCGACCTGTGGTGTAGACACCTGTGCAGGGCTGCCCACACCAGCAGGCTTGTCTGCTGTCTGTGTTCCCTGGAGCTTCACAACTGCTGGTGGAACATCTGCAGGGATCTCACTTCCTGCAGGTGGAAATTAGGAGACACACACAAGAAAGTTTTCAATATAGAATATCCTGGAGAAAGATATCTACAGCAGCCATGTTTTACTAATGCCCTCGAGTTGATTGGTTTACTGTAGATCACTTTATGTTTGTGGTAGAAAAACTTTGCGCTCTGAGAGAGATGGATATATGTTCGGGGAACTATACACGATACAGCAAAAAGAAAGTCGTCAAATTAGTTGTTCATGGTACTGATTGTGGTACAGAGGTGACAGCTAAAACCGCGAATATAAAAGTACAAAGAAAAAATAATGATTTACAGTATATTCAGAGAATTGATTGTAAGGGAGCTTAACTGCACAAAGCCATGAACGACACACACATACTAGTACCTGTATGAGTGGGAAAACTAGTGAAGCCTGCCTCCTTAGGTCTGGGTTTGGAGTGGAGAAACACACAGTGTGGCTTCAGACAGCCACTCGGCTGGGTCTCCCAGTAACACTGGATGTTACTGCGGTCTTTCTGCAATGGAAAACAGACAAAACATCAGCGTGATGAAGTTATAGACATGAATTCAAGCCTCAGCATCAGTGTGGAAAAATAGCATGTCTAACCCTCCGAAGACGGGGAACAACAGACACTAAACTGGATAATGAGAGGTGAGAGTACGTACGGTGATGTTCATGTGCCTGAACTTGCAGTAAGGTCGGTAACACATGCCCTGCTCCCACAGAGAACACGTGACTTCATTCCCCAGTGCCGCCTCACAGTGTCGGAAGGGGCAACTCATACCCTGGGAAACATACAAAAAAAAATTGAGAGATGACCTCAATTTACATTGTTTTACAGGTGAAAAAACACATCCATGTGAAGCTTGAGTTTGCTCTGTTGCCAATGGTAGCATCCCTTTCAGAGATGGGAGACTACTAATAATCAGGACAAGCTAAGGCTCCACACTACTACACATGGATTCCATCATAGATTCAGTTCTTTTACAATGTTTCATTTAGATAATGTTATAACGTATAGGCTGTTAAGCAGCTCATATCATGTTATGTCTTGTCTTTGTCAGCAGGGCAAACCCTTTGTAATGGCCACAGGCTAGTTGGGCTGCCCTAGCTGTGTGTTGAAGCCAAACCAATAAATAGATAATACAAAACAGGATATCCTGATGTAGCAGGATATCCCTCTGATACATCGGGTAATCATACGGAATAGTCTACCTCACCTTGGCACACGTAGAGTAGTAGAAGTAGTAGCAGTCGTCTCCTTGTTGAGCCATGGTCAGGATGTACACTGCTGTCTGCTGGGGAGGAAGGTTCACCCAAACATTTATCAGTTTTTAGTACATCGGTGTAAAATAAATACTTTATAGCTCTCTTTCTAACTAAGCAAGGCTAAACCTTTTGAGCAGATACATGTTGAACCAAAACCAATCATTTTTATCACAGCAGTTAGGCAATTAACATCGGACGATTCAATCCCCAGTACGTGATTTTAGAGCAGATTTTACTTGTTTAACATTCAAATTGTTAGTTTTAATGGCTTATGAGACACCATAGGATCATAGAAAATTCAAGTGTGATGTTGTACCTGTCTGCTGAAGAAGTCCTTCCAGCTGAAATGAAATGTGGCTGTCAGTTATTGGTACTTCATTCCACGACGTCTGCTCACAAGATGGCAAAGTGCTACAAAGTTCCTGTTCTTGTCTTGTAACCGTACTGTAATCCAGTCACAGCTTTCAGCTTCCTCTTACAAGTCCTGAGTAAGAACAAACTTCCTTGGAATAGTAATGATTGTGTTTAGTCCACAAGATGATGCACGTATCCTTCTGGCCGGATTCTTTCTCACAGTTCCTGCTGAAAAAACAATGGCCAAGTTGTTTTCCTGTCCACCTGAATCTGCCGCACCATAATCAGCTGCTCAGCTCAGTTCAGAACTGTGCAATCAGAACTGTCTATGCCATTGTTTGATTGGCTGGAGGACTTCTTGTTGCTTCTTTGTGCAGGAACCAAGTGCAACATCTTAGCATGTATGAGTCCGACGATATCTCCGCCTCCCAAATCTGCACCTCTGGCATTTGTATGCAAATGCAGGGTGCAAAGGGCTATGGTTGCACTGAAATCAATTGCACCAAAAAAGCCCATTGCATCTTCTTCTTGATTTCAAAAAGTTGTGATCTTTTATTTTCCTTTTTTTTTCCTTGCCAATAGTGAACGACTTCTTGATTTCAAAATTACGAAGTCAGAAAAAAAATGATTTTGAAGTTTGTTAAAAGATCAAACTCGCGAGAAACACATCTTTTGGTCAAGAAAAATTATGCTGAAAGTTGGTGATGAGTAAAGTTGAAAAATTGCCAATCATGACATGAGTAAAAAGCCTCAACAACAACAAAATCCTGTTGAGTACATCACTGTAGAGTGTAGATTGTATAAAATTTCATCTTTCCCACTACACACAGAAAGACAACGGTACTGAAACATTGCTGGACACAGATGGAAAAGTACAAAACCAAAATGAGAAATATAAAAAAAGGTAAGAAAAATAAAATGCTTTCTTTAGATAAACATGAAAGGCCAATTTTCCAAGTGAACAAGTACAGTATCCATCCTGTCAAAGGCTTGTCTATGCTTCAACTGAAGGACAAAATATACTGGTGTATCAGAGCTACTTCACGAAGCAGACACGAAGCAAAACCGTTGACGCCTTGATGACTGGCTCATTGCAGCTGTCATAAATGCTGTTGTCATAAATGCTGTGAATCATACTGATCAGCGTTTCAAAGATACAAAATATGCTTCCCAAATCCGTCCTCAATCCGCATTTTAGTCTGAAAGACTGACGTTTTCATCCCAAATGTTTTTATACCAACAGGCACAATGGAATTAACTCGTCAGTTTCTCACATGCAGATCGGAACGACAGGTCGACGACAGGACACCAAACAAGACAATCAAGACTAGACATGTTTCCAACATGGCGACTAGAGACAGAAAACGTTGCACTAGTACGGACGAAAAACAAGATCTAAACCCATTCTGAGCCGGGGATACAGACGCCTTGATTTTCACGTAAAAGCACCGCACGGTCGTAACGCATCTGCTCTTTTGGTTACGTACTAGTATACCTCGAAGACTTGCTGACATGAACATTTTCCTTCAGGGGGAGGGGGGTACGGACCCACAGGACAAGCCGATCTCAACATACAACGGACCGTTTCTGACGACTTTTACCACATCTCGCACGAGGCTGGGCATGTTTACAATCTTGTACGAGACACAAGAGCGGATCGATAAAATTTCCAGACGATCTAAGACGTGAAATACCAACTAGGTTACTCCGGACATGCTCGTTCTGGACCCTTTGTCCATCCGAGTCCAAATCGCGAGATTGAAATCGCCGATTTCACTAAATTCAAGACATTTACAGCGAGATTGCATGTTACCTGGCTAGCTCGACACCTTCCCGGATACAATGTTAGTGTTAAAATCGCGGGATTTATCCTAGGTGTGGAAATGATCTGTTGAAAAAACAGCTGGAAAGACGGTAAAACATGTCCGCCCGCAGTGACGCACCCAAATAGTCTCACATCACAGTTTTCTTTGACGTCATCAATCAATCGTGATGAGTAAGACCTGAGTTTAGATTATTAGTGGTAGTGTTACCGTCAAACCGAAATAGTATTCAAGGTTTTGGAAAACCGCTTCAAGTTTTTATTAGCAAAATTATTTCGTCCTTTCGGGGTTGTGATATTGAGTCGATAACCCGAAAAACCATCGAACTGCGGTAGGAGATAAAAATTGTGCAGTGTAAGCTACTTCTCGAAGTCTTGGTTATCAAAGATTAACGGCGTCACTTAAGCTACAAAGTATGAACTCATTTTCCTATAGAATCCTACAGAACTGCTTTGAACGTCAATATTGCTGACAAGTTGCAATTCAAAATATTTTCGCCAGATGGGGCAAATGAGTGGCGTCCACATGAATAATCTGTGGTGCTGAAATGCCTTCCTGTGACGAAGGATGGTAGTACATTTGTACAACCAGGGAACAGCAATATGGTGATGTATGCAGCTTTCATGAAAAAAAAGTTGAAAGCAGTGTCCTATTAAAGTATGCATTTTAGACTGTTTTCAGATGATTCCTAGATCCTTCAATTACCATATTTATATATTCATAATGGAAATCATAATCAGTGATGGCATATTTTGAGACACTTGATTCAAGAGGATTTTCAAATAAGTACTTACGGTGTGCTTGGTTTAATTTGTTCTGCCAGAATATGTAATAGATAGGGAGAGCACTTCACTAGCCTCTAACAGGCTTTAATGGCAACTGGAAAGAGTAGAAATTGGCCAAAAAGCAGATAACATGCCAGGAAGTAATCAATGTATTAGTATGTTCGCTAAAGGAGTACCGTTTGCCACTCTGAAGAGCTTCCTTTGAAGCCTGGTAGAGGCACATCAATGCAATGAACTGATTTTGAAATTCCCAAGTGTGGCTATGGCAACACTATCTATATGCAGTTCCTGCACTGGAAAATATAAGATAAGGGGAAATAAAGACTTCTAAAAGTGCTCAATGTATCTCCGCCTTTATTGCAGTATTATTACAAAAGTATAATTCCAGTGTCAAGTGGAGTATCTAACACTGTAGCATCACATACTATCTGTGTTCTTTGTCCTATCTACTGTATGATATTATAAAAGAGATCCATGTAGGAAAACATGTTCCAGTCACTGTACTCAGTGAGTAGCCAGAGCTGTAGTTACATGTGGTCTGTTGCTCCTTGTCTGCTGCACCTAAGGTACCATTGATCCGTCTCCAAGTCAGATATGATGGCAAGAGGAATATAAATGTTTTGAAGGTTTAGTATTATCCCCTCCTATCTATATGGCTGTCTGTATCACAAACGATTTGGAAATAATCTGGATAACCTCTCCCAATACCAACCTACATGTATTTAGTCAAAATTTAGATAGCATACACTGGGGTAAACATGGTTAATGTGCTAAGTATTTTGTATGAAGTTCTGAAGTCCACCATGTACAGTGTATGTCCCGGAACAGTTCTATTGCTATGGTCTGGCAGTCTGCCTGTCAGGGTCTCCCACTGCGTTTTTTACTCCACGTGGTGAATTTTCTCTCTGCATTGCTGATCATCTCTGTCAGGTGGTCTGTCAGCTGTGGGAGGGAAAGAGACAATAAAATTAAAGATTGAAAGAACAATGTCTCGTAAAGGTTTCTGCCATAGATCAATTCTTAACACCACAATACTAGTATGTTGTCAATGATTGTTACAAAACCTTGGGTTTCTTCTTAGATTATGACATAAAATTCTAGCTCATAGAAGAAGAGAATACTATAAGATAATACTACCATATAATGGTGGGGTGGGGGTACCCTAACATCCCACATGCCCTACCTTTGCACAGTTTTTCCACTGATCCTAATAATATTATTATACTTATGAATGTTTCTTGCCACTGACTTTGCTAATTAAAAGGTAACTAAACATAGTAAATGAATACAGCTGTTATTTGCATGCAAAAAAGTGTGTTATGTTAGGGCACCTTCCGTTCCATATCTTCAGTAGAAAAATCACAGTGACATGAAAACAATTTGCCTCACATTAGTGGGTAGATGTTGACTTCTCAGCTTGTCCTGGAACGGCTGCATTTTGGTGTTCTGGAATCTCCTGAGCGTCTCCTTCATCCTGACGACCTTCTCCTCCAGCGTGGGCGTGGTGACAGGGAAACACTGCCAGAAGTGTCGAAGGAGCTCCGCCAGCGCAGCGTACAGCGACTGTAACTCATCCTGTAGGTCCTTGGGTATCAGCTCTGAGACAGGAAAAATATGACATGTTCCTTCCGAAAATAGTTTCATCAGGTTGGTAAAGTAAAGGATACAGGAGTTTTCTTTATTTCAAACAAACTTTCTCACTCCAAATTTTTCACTCCAAGATTTCTCCCTCAAGTGATGACGTTTATCAGACACCTTCCTTAAGCTTTTGACAAAGCCTTGTCACCCCTAAGGTACTCAAGGGCTGTACATCTTACCTTTCAAACTCTGCTGCATGCCAGTCTGCATGAGGACCCCCCCTGGTGACAACTCAGCTGTGACAGAGGCAGCCAGGCTGCTGGGTAGAACCTGTACAACAACATGGCATCGTCAGGGTCAGTATCATTATGGTGATCATTACATCGAAAGAACATACTGCACCTGCACAAAGCCCTTTTTTTAATGATTTCCGTTGGATGTTTGGTCAACGCTGCATCAGAATTTTTATCTCTTGCAGACAATATCTTTTCTGACACAACATTTGAAAACTATAAATGGGACATGTACATATTAAATATGACCTTAAATAAGAGCTTCTGCTGAACGGTTATGCACAACACATTAAGGGTTTCGCAAAAAGACAGTGCCTTCTGCCGATGTGCTATGGAGATGCATCTTCTGGAATCACTTGTCCCTCTAGCCTGGGAGACATCCTTTTTTGGAGGTTGGCGAATGCAAGGAGCCCTGTTACAAAACGGATGGCACCAAAGCTAATGTCCCTAATATCATGTAAAAGAAGGATACTGGGTAGTACTTCTTGATGAAGGCTGGAGAGACAGCTGATAATTTGTTGAATCTGATTAGTTTTATAAACAAAACTCATTCTGTAACATGATATACAGAGCTTTGGTTGCTATTTTTCACAAAACACATTTCCCTACATGCCAACTGTTACCATTATGACAGTCTGTTGACTCACATTGGGTAAGTCTGCCCTGTATCCCCCCATGTCCTGTCTGACGTGCTGTGTGGCCCGCTGGATGTCCTGACTGGTGGTGTACTCCCCCTGTTGTATAGCGGACGGTCCCTGGAGGTACCTGTCAGCCCCCGTCAGGGACAGGGGAGGGGCGGAGCTGGACGTGGACTCCCCCAGGTCTTCATATGATATTGCATCTCTTAGTCTTGCCTGGAAGGCATGCAAAATGATATGTTCTGAATACTGCAATATAGCAGTGTACAAAGCTAACTTGAATCAAAGTAACTTCACACCATGCAGCACAAGTACAAGTACAATCTACAGTTTAAAAAGAAGCTATAAGAGAAGTTACCTTATCTCTTTACATATTATAATTCATAAAAGAAATGGTGCATCTATATACTGGTAGATCTATACAACGGGTGGTGTTCAACTGGAAAGGTATACCAGCAAGATCAAACAAGGTGTGTTTTTTTTTAACTTACAGATATAGACAACAATCAAGAACCTACCTATAAAAATTCACAAAATTCATATGCATCCATTGAGTCATCTTGTTACCAAACCAAGAAAGAATGATGTTCCATTGATACTAACCTTTTTTGATGGAGGCCCTAGTGACTGTGACAGTGCACAGGATGAGTTACTATTGTCTCCTGAACTACCTAAACCTAACGATAAGATATCTTCTTCTGATGACCTGGAAAGACAGCAGTAAAGGACAACAATTATGAATAAAATAAAATCTTGACTTAATTTTCAAAATGTATATCAATCATGTCATGTTGCACACCAGAATGAATATTATTTTTAAACCCAAATGTAATAAATTTGGCAATAATACTTAAGTAGTGTGGTTGGTAGTTATTTTATTGTTATTCCATAAATGAGTGAAAATTGGTACGGTTAACAGTAGGACAAATTTCATTGACTTATTCCTCTAAACTTTAGTTTTTTCTCTAAGAGAATTATCCAATAAACCTGAAGTACGTAGCCTGTTTCCTACCTTTTATTCCTACATGCCTCCAGCACCATTGTACTGTGGTAGTTAAACCTCCTGATGATAGCCTGGTTCACAGAGTGTTTGGGGGCAGTGCTTGTATCTGCTGACCTATTGCCATATCCCTGTGGAGGAAAACAGCAGGATGAGACACCATAGTCAGGAAGACTGTAATGCTGAGTAGGGGAGGGCAGAACACTACTATTATTTTGGTTGGTGAACTCTGGTCTTACATCTTGGAATGGCTAATTTATGTGGAAGCCACATGTTTTTGCAGTACATTGTACATTTAGTACAGAAAGTTCTCTTATTCTTTATTTTTCTATTCGATCATTCACCACAAAAATGGTTACCGGTACATAAACATGTACGTGTACAAATACATGTTTAAGTTATCTAATAGGATGTCACCAAATCTTACCTCATCTTTGACAAGAGATGTTTCATCTAATGATTCCAAGTCTAAGAAGGAGTCCTTGACCTTGTCCTGTATGATCTGGTGCAAATCTGTGAGAAAAAGATGATATAGAATGAAGAGCAGGATATTGGCAAAATTAGCATACATTCAGCAGGACTTTCTAAGGACTGCTGTATCCACAACACAATAGATGTGCATAAGAAAAAGGCTACTTAAGGCACCAAATCAAGTTTGGGTTGCTGAAATAGTATCTCTTTTCCTTTTAAAAGTCAGAAAAATCAATGCTCTAGGCAAGCTTGACTCACTGAGAGTGTGGACTAACTCACCCAATAGGAGAAACAGGTTACTTATAATGCTGTTCATGCAGGAACAAATTAAAGAAGAATTTATATACTTCAGCCCCTGCTACCTACAGACCAACCAACCAACTGATGAACTGACCTTTCTCGTCGTTCTTGGCGCAGTCGGAGAACAGGTCCTTGCCGTGGTTGATCCTGTCCCTGTGGAAGTAGTGCGACTGGAAGAACCTGGTCCAGAACTCCTTCTCACTCAGGTTGTGGGGCACGTTGTCAGCATGGGTCTTCTTCACTGTTATACACATGTATGTATGGCAGGATTTTTTTTTCTATTCCAACATTTATTACAAGACATGGTGACGGCACACTCAAGTTTTCCCACCTTGCTGCACCAATGCAGACAATGTTGAAAACTTCCTTTCCTTCCTACTGCAAAAGTTTTACGAGTTACAGAAATACTAACACTAGTTTTCAACTTTGCCTTTCATTTTGATTTTTGAGAAGCATCCATCCTTACTTATGTCATACGGCACTTTAAGATACATTTTGTAGTTTATGTTTTATTATTATACTCCACATCTTTGGCAATACAAATGTATTGGGACTACAGTAAAAGAAACTGACCTGCAGGATATGTTTTGAAGATAGAGGCTATGATGTCAGCTGTGAGGTTGTACTTGATGCCGTTACAGCCGTCACTCTGAGGCCGGATGTCAGCCTGAGGGGAACATGTAAGGGGGAAGGTTAGGGACTAGTACTGGTGAAGGAGAAAGCAACGAACCAATTCAGAAAAAAATAGACAAAAAAAGTGAAAACGATTTGTATAGCTCCTTTGAATAGCTCCTTTTTCTAACTTTATTATATATATCTCAAAGTCTGTTTACAACCTTCAGTCATCAGATACACATGTACTACAGAAAACTCACCAAGAATGATGCAGATACTCCAATATCCTGACTCCCTTTGGCTGCATTTGACTGTTTTGTCTAGCATGATAATAAAAGACAATACACGTATAAGACTGACCACATGTATATTAGGCAATTCTTAAAACTGTAAAGAATGCAGGGGCAGTGGGGTTATCACATATTACATAAACATGCAACCTAACAATATACTTTAATTTTGTTTATGACATACATGTACTACTATTCCATGCATCCCCACCCATGTTCACAGCTTTCTGACAGTTGTAACATGTACCTGTGCCCTGTTGGTCCAGAACTCCTCAGCAGTGATGACTCCACTGACCACCAAATCCTTGTACAGTTGGAACAACTGTGGGTCTTCCTGTAGAAGTCTATGGAACACAGGAAAACAAAGATACACAAATGCATTACAGATAGGAAAACAGCAAGTACTTTCTACCTGTCACAGTGATACTTATACAATGACAATGTACATAATGTATATCACAATGGTTGCTCATAGTTAAATCAATCATTTCAATCATTCTACAACTTGTAAAACTAAAAATCATGCATTCATGGGAGCCACCTCCCAAGGTTGTTGACTCAGACTCAAAAGGTTCTGAGTTTGAATCCCTGGCAGGTCCCATTGTTGTGTCCTTGGGAAAGGCACTTACATTACAACTGTTTCCACAATTGACTCAGGTGTAAATGAGTGCCTAGTTTCAGTTAGGGATGTCTCAGGTAGGATGTAAATCCGTGTTTAACTGAGCCACACCTTGAGCACATTAAAGATCCCACCAAACCTTACAGTCTGGTCTCAGGTTTAACATCTTGAAAAGTTGATACTACAATTACTAGTGTGATACTAGTAATCACCTGTTACAAGTACAATGTATGTCAATCCTTCCACAAATGTGTTAAATCTTCATGAATAATTGCTAACCAGGCCCCACCTGTTTTTCTCCTCCAGTTCCTTGTTGACCTGACTTTTAAACCTGGGCAGCAGCTGCTGCAGGAGTTCCTTCACCCCGTCCCGGTCCTTCAGCTGCTCAGAGTTCCCCTCAGGGTTGTTAAAGTGGAAGTTACACGTGTCGCCTGTGTGCAGAACCAGCTGTAACTGGATCTTAGCCTTTCCCTCTGGGCTGATTTTCTGGGCTGAAGGAAAAAAAAAACAACTAAATCTTACAGCTCTTGGTGGTAAATGTGCAGCTGTTGTCACATTGGCGCACCACATCCATAGTGTGTTTTTGGCACATTTAGACAGATTAGCCAAAGAGGTTCGTTGGGCATCACTCCATTAGGGAAAGGAAGGTAGTATAAAGTGCCTTCCCCAAGGGCACAACATTGGGGTATGGTGAGTACCGGTATTGAACCCGGGACATATTGGCTCCGAGTCCAACAGTGAACACTCTAACCGTTGCACCACCGACACCACTGATGGAAGAAGATGGTGGTTTGTGACGGATCAATGTTAGCATTCAGGACTTGAAATGCTTTTTTCTCCATACCTGCACTGGTGCAAGAAACATTGAAAATGATCTAAAACCAAGGAAGTTCAAAAACACCACTGAGAATTTTGGAAGTACATCTGATCATACTAAAAACTGTTCATTCAACTTCATTGCCATTATTTCTTTTATCAAGGATGGTCCTGTCAATAGTACAGAATATTCTGTTATTGACAGGCAGGATGGTCCTGTCATAAATAGACACTTCCATGTTTTTTTATAACGGTGCTTGTATGACGGTTTCTGGTGTAAACTGTAATTTCGGTTGTCAGAGGTGCAAACACAGTAACATTTCACAGATTCGCTTACTGCGATCTTTGAAAATCATCCAACTAAAGATGAATATCTGGGTTTGAAAGTTCTGGGCTGCTTACATCGGATATCTGCATAGTTGTGGCTGACCCCAAGTCTCTCTCCGGCACTGTTCGCGCTCCACGCAAGCCTTTCCCCCATCAGGAACAGCGTTCCTTCGACTTTCTTGTGCCGCACGTGGCTCACCATCAACAACACGTCTTCTGAACGAGACATTTTTACTTCCTTGTGGGTCAAAATTAGTATAAATACAGCAGCGTTACAAGTTTGACACTTTTAGGCGGCCATCTTGGATCATAATTTCCTGTCGTAAAACGGTTCCCACGTTGGGAACTTTCCGATTTTACGACATCACCTGGGCACGCTACGCTGCTTTTACGACAGTGCCGCAAAACAATGTTTCCTCAGCAACCAACAACAACAACAAAGGAAAGATGGCGGAAGGTAGGTTGGTTTTTACTGAGCTCCTCTATTTTGACTCGAATTCGTGGGTTTCCACCATAACTTTAGCACAAAAATATGCTCAACATTTACACATGTTTATCAAGTACAAATCCAGACGTAGAAATGTCAAATTTCCATCGAAGATTTTTTGGAAAACAGCACCGGTTTTACTAAATTGGTTAGCAAGAGATAATTTTGGGGAGGGGCAACGCGGTGTTTACTGTATTTGTTTGAAGGCTCGGACTATTGACAGGATGGTCCTGTCAGTGGCGGAAAAATGTGCACTATGAACAGGACAAATTGTCCCACATCATCCTGTCAATAATGCAAATTTTCCCACTATTGACAAGTCCATCCCAATACATTGTATTCCCATGTTTGGTTTTGCACCTTTAGCATGGAAAACGAGTGTGTGTGATCTATTCTTTCATTCTCTCATGGTGTGCTACAACTATATACAGGTGGCATGTTTCTTACAAACGTTACGCTTTTGCCACATTCACAGCATCGACCAAGAAGATGGAGATCTCCTTCGGCACTACCCTGGACAGGAAACTGTTCCCTATCAACTGCGCCCCCACGCGGTTCGGTAACGAACTGTCCCCGCTCAGGGGAGCGCCACACAGAGGACCAGGTTGTTACGACAATGAAGAGGTAAGCGCTAAAATGCAGAATCTGTTTCCTCTATTTAGTCTGGGCTATCTAATCTTTCTAATAGTACTTTTCAAAATGCACAAACAATCGCAAAATGGGGACATTTAATCTTTATTGGCAGATTTTATAACTGCCTTTGTTTTAAAATTCTTAAGGTTGCCTCCCCTTGGGCAATTTTTTAAGGCAACTATTCCACATGACTGTTGAGATGTTGTGAAAAAGAAAAACTCAAATGTTCTGTTCTTGTTTCACAAACAGGTCAGCAACATGGTGTACAACATTGAGAAATTCCCCATCTGTACCAAGAAAGGGTACTCCCTGGGCGCACGCACAGACCCCAGGTTCAGGAAAGTTCACACGGTAAGGCAGGGCAAAAGCTACAGAAGTTTGCCATAAATTTTTTCAATGTCTTTTTCTAATGCAAGTAGCTTTAGTTACATTCGTAAATAGTTTCATCAATGGTTTGAATAGCAAAATTCTTTATTCACAATCACAACCACTTGTTTAACACGAACCGACATTTCGATGACCGTCTGCCATCTTCGTCAGGGCAATTTATGACAGGTTTACTGTGCACTGAACCCGAGTACATGTGTAACACCTAACTTCAGTGCTCAGTGAACCAGTAACACCTAGCTTCAGTGCACAGTCATAAGTGCAATGATGAAGATGATCACCAAAATGTTGGCTCTTGTTGTAAAACATTTAGTCGTTGCAAATAAAGAACTCTGATAGTCTTGATGTTTTGTGAGTGTGCATGTGAGTGTGAAGTAAGTACTGAAGTACTGGTATCAATAACACAGTCATGTTTCTCCTCCCAGCTCATCACACCCAGTCCTGTGGCCTACCAGACCACATGGACAGAACTCAGGAGCTTCAAACCAGCCTTTAAACCCTTCGAGGTTGGAGCCAACAGATTCAGGGAGATCAAGCTAGATCCACTTATTAATCCAGGGTAAGAGGGTAATAATCTTTGCATTGTGCCATAGAATAAGTCACAGATAGTTCAACTCTGGGTCCCTATAAGATTAGAATGCAGCATACTTTCATTGCACAAGAATGACTGTTTGACAACTCGACACTGAAAGTCTCTATCCCTATGAAATAGTCCTTGAAGTCATCTATTACCCAACATATTTACCCAGGCTTTATGATTTCTGTTTTTTTTTATAGTTATAGTTCCCGCTGGTTTACTTATTGTCCATATTGTTTTGTTTTTCTCTCAGGCCTGGGACCTATGAACATGATATCAAGAGAAATCGGCAAGTGTCATGGCCGAGCCAGTTCGGTGCACCCATCCATCCAATCCAGCCAACGCCGGAAAAAAGAACACTGAAGACAGAGGTATGCTTATTTTCCATTTTTCTATGGGTCTTCCCTTGTGCTGTAATTTGATTTATTGAAAAATGTACACCATGACAAGGAAAATCAGACTGTCAACCTAAAAAAAATGTTGTACCACAATTTTCTCATACCTCCTTCGTTACCCCATGGAGTTTTACCTCCATGGTTACCCACACAGTAGCATTGATCAATCATCTACATGTAGCTTTGTTTTGCTACATTAATTTAATACAATTGCCTTAGACTTTGGCTCAAGTCACAAAATACAGTTTGCACTCAACCAATTGCTATCTGTATAATATCTGTACATCACTGCTAACCTTTGAACAACACTGAAGAGACATCAGAGATTGTAGCTCATGACTTTTTTTCCTTTGCTTTGCAGCTCCTGAGTGACAAGGAGTTCAGGAAACACAAGAACAGGGTGGCATACCTGAGTCTTTACTGGGAATGACCCACTAGCTCCATCCTTGTGTAATGTAACAATATAGCAGTATAAGCCACAGAATATTAAGGGCTATTTCTCTTCTGTGTCACTTCCAAATTAGACCAAATTTCGTATTTGATTTAGGCATCAGCCTAACTTTTTAGGAGCTTATTTGTAGCAGATTTTAACAGCAAAGAACTAATCGTATCACTGCAATGGTGGCACCCTTGTCAAGATTATGATTTTATTACAGAAAACTGTCTGAGATTATTTGAAAAACTGAACATATTTTTGTGTTGCATTTTATGCAGTCAGAGGGAATCAGTTTGTATATAATATTACTGTATATAATACTGCAGTATCTGGCAGTATATTATTTGTTTTTTTATTGTCTTCCATCATGTGAAAGTACTAATTATAAGATGAGTGTTGTTTCTTAAATTTTTGTTGCCAACATTTCAACTCACATTGTTCATTGTGAGAACATCTGTAAATAAAGTACATAGTATCTAACACTACAATGTGTTGATGTCTGTTTCATATGCAGAATCATGTTATTGGACACTTGTTTTACACTATACACACATCAGCTTTTCTGACACTCATGTTACAGTACTGCCCCTATGCAAATATTGGCAAAGCTGCATGGATTGCACACTGTCATTGCACCAGTGCTAATTATATGGCATTGTTTCCACATGTCAAAAACTGGAGAATCAAATTATGCATAATTACATATTATATGCATACAACAAAATTACATCATTGTCATCCAATACTTTCTGGATAGTTAGGAAATTTGACATAAATACAGACAATGTCAAAGAACAAAATTTTTCTAATTCTTTAAAAGCACCGTTATGAACATTGCTTTTTTTTACCATTCAGCATCTGCCTGTTATCAGCTTTTGTTTTCAGAGCTAATCACAGGTTTACATATATCATGGTAAAATACATGTACCTTCATACCATCTTTAAAATTAGTTACTACGGTATAACAAATGGCACGTGCACATGTCACTGATATGGTGCAGAAGGTAGTGCCTGGCTTATGAAACTTGCTAAGCCTGTTGCGGAAGATTATTTTTAGATACTGGTGAAGACGTCTTCATTTTGTTTTGCTGAGGTCCAATGGCGTGGACACACGGAAGATTTGTGGCAGCATGTTGCTGAACTGGTGAAACATCTCATCTGAAATCCCCTGCAGATACAAGTCAGGACAAGTATAAGCACACATACACCACAAAATATGAAAATAAGCTAGAAAGATAACATTTTCAAAGCAAATGCATACTTTTTACCTTAGTTTGCTCTGTTTATTCTTACTCAAACACATTCATATATATGGTGACAGGAGTCTAAATCCCTCCAGCTATAAAATTGCAACATGATGTAACCCAACACCAGTTACCATGGTGATAGACGTCTGGTTCAGGTCGTTGATCTTATTAGTTTGGAGAAGAAGAGGAAGAAACTGAGCAAAAACACTATGTTTTCCTTCGGTACATATAAAAAGCTGAAACTTATCAAAACCAAACAAACTTGCTTTTAAAACTATGAGCAGAATTATGATAATGTAGTTATGGTTCTGTTGTTGTAACTGCAATACAACAAAACTACTGACCTCAGGCACCATAAACTGTATAGTTCTGGACTCAGTTCCTCCCCAAGATGCCATTTCCATCATGAAACCTGTGAATACAACATGTTCATGTTGAAATCCCCATGCTGAAAGCATGCCGAAATTTCTGTTCATAAGGCTTACCGGTACATCATAATGTCTTTGACAGAGTTGCAATATGTTGTCTTAAGTTTTCTGTTTAAAGAAAAATTTCCAAACATACATGCAGTAGCACATGAGGTACCTTTAATACACTTGAAGATGAGCTCAGCTCTTTTCAGACACCACTGCACTGTCATCTCCTGTAAATACAGGCAAGAAAAGTGAGATACTAGTACCAGATTCTCTTCATCATGCTGATTAGAAACACATAATTGAGGATCACTGAGAAACAACCATTGAATATAAATTTCATTACCAATAACTGAAATATTCAAGCCAGTGCCAAGCGTTCTAGCCAGTGCCTGTCTTTCTGTCATTTTACAGAATTTTGCTGCTCATGGTGGACAAAAATTTGCCCAATTCTTCATTTTTGATGGACAAAAACCAGCTTGTAAAGATATGGACAGAAATATCATTAAACTAAGCTAAGTCTACCAGCAAAAGTTTCCCCTCAAAATGCAGGAAATCGAGTTTCAGAGGGTCAAGATTTCAAAATGTTCCGGGAGGAGCATGCACCCGGAGACCCCATTAGAATCAGCACTCGACATGATCTTACCGGTATGTCAAACAAAATCAAGATGACAGTAAATTTCACTGATTCAAATACACAGCAAAGACTGATATACACACCTCTCCCATCTCGTGCACCAGTAGAAGTGGAAGGGTCAAGGTCAGGATGTCGTGTCGACAGGCGACCTTGAGGATGCTGCGCAGACCCAGGATGGTCGGGTTACGAGCGTTGACGTTGGTGGAGCGTAGGGAATCATCGGCCACCAGGTGGAACACCACATGTACCTCCGACAAGTTGGAATGTCTGGTGATGTAGAAATCCCCTGGAAACATGGATGAATTACATAAAGTTGTAAGACTTAGACCTTTAAACCTACCAGTAGTATCATATTAGCATGCCACCAACACAACCAAGAACCTAAGTACGCTTATCAAAGAGAGCAGGGGTCCTTCCTGATGTGATCATGAGTGGTTTACTTTAAACCTTACAGTCTGGTCAGGTTGACAAACCTTACAGTCTGGTCAGGTTGACATCTTTAAAGGAGTACTAACCTCCAGAAGGAGGTGCTATATTTCGACAGGCATTTATTTTTGGAAGTGAAAAATGCATATTATTTTACAGTATACAATTAAATGTCCATTTTGAGCGCAAGTCTTAAAACGCATCGAATCCAGGACAAACTCTCCAAATACCCTCAAAACTATCCCAGAATACACCACGCTACCCCATTGGTGTCTATGTTTTAAACAAAAAGTTACGTTACAGACTTCATTTCGGGGGCGATAAGAAAAATTCGTACCGTTTTGTGTTCTTTGGTATCTTACCAACCATTGTCCTTCTTGGTGTCCTTATCGCCCCTTATTTATGCCTCAAATATTGACGATGAAAAAAACGGCGTAATCTAGTTATCCTTTCCATAAGTGGCGTAATCTAATTATCTGTTCAAGTAATACTTACATGCAAATAAGTTGAGAAAATCAAAACACGCAGGATGAAACTGGCTCCCACTGTATTCGACATCCTGATATTATAATATCCAAGCCACAGGTCAAGCAAAGTAAAGCAAGTAATTTCTCAATAATCAACTTGTTAGTGTGCTTGTCTCCTATCATTTTCGCCGAAAAATGTGTATGTTGACCTGAAGTGCATGAGTATTGCGCAAGCCAGAGTTCCCGGATGTATCAATTGTGGTTCAGCATGGGGAAAAATGATATTAATATCACTTTACAAACATGCGCCGCGCAAGTCGTACAAGCAAAATTATGTAAAAAGTCGGCTAGTTATGTATTCATTGTAGCATGATGTATCGGAAAATAGCACTTCCTTCTGGAGGTTAGTACTCCTTTAAAAGGTGATTGTCACCTGTTATGTCAATCCTTCCACAAATGTGGTAAATCTCAATAAATAAACAGTGCCATACTTATTTGTACTTGTATGCAGATAATAGATTAATAGATGGATGATTGAGAAATGTAACCCTACCGGCTTGTAATCTGTTGAGATCTGAGAATGACTTGCTTTTGGATTTCTCACTGTCTGCGCTGCCATTGCTACTGCCATTCTCTTCTGTTGGAAGAAACACATTTTCATTACCCTCAACAACATCAACATTAACAATGCAAGTGTTCTTTTGAAAAATCTATACATTCAATGATGATACATTGTATGCCTTCTTGAAAGCCTTTGTAGTAACAAGTGTAACAAATTGTCATTGTTTCTACCTCTTGCAGTATGGATCACTGTCACTCTAGCTAAGTTTAACACAACAAATCCAATACTAAACACAAACCTGGCTAACGGTCACTACATACATGTATACATGTACTACAGTACTTAGTCCCATGTGCTTACTACATCCAGGAACTCACACTTGGTATCCCACTAATTCTACTCTGGGTACCATGTTACAGTTCTACACTAGCATATAATCACTACACACTACTGGTCTCCTGTGCTTACTGCACCTGCACTACATTACTGCACCTGTGTGAAACCCATAATGTATTGTGCATAGCACTTAGGCAGAATGTCTCATATAAGGTCATATTCGTGTATAATGTTAACATCCTGTCTGTAGTTTCCAAATGTTAAGTTGGAAGAGATGTCGTCTGCAACAGGCAAAATTCTAATGCAACGTTTACCAAAAATCCAACAAAAACCATGAAAAATCAGGATTTCACACAGGCACACTAGCTCTCAAGTAATCTGGGTCTCATATCACAGTTCTATACTCCCAGAACAGTACCTTCCTCCTCCCTGGCCGCCTGCCGTGCCAGCCTGCAGCTGTTGGCTCGCACCAGGTCCTCCTGGATACTGCTGAACTGGTCCTGCAGGGCCGGGAAGTGGAAGTCTGTGGACTGCTGACAAACCGAGGAAAAATCTGTGGACCAAGGACAGGTAATAATCAAACTATCCCGAGTTGCTTTGCGCGCAGGGAGGGTAAGATAGCACGCACCCCCCATCTAGTGTCACTCTGTGGTCGCAGCCCGGACGCCACGGACGTACGCCATGGCGTTCCCGTGTTGCGCGGGGATTTTACCCTGGTCGGAACCATTTTGTTAGAAATTTAGATCGGCCAGGGCGACGCAGAGCTGCTGGAGCAGCCGGCAAGTTTCAAACCCAGGAGATGAACCGAGATGAGCTAGCGACGCAGATTGTCATCCTCGGACTGACGGGCCGGGACCCCAAAGAGCAGTTCACCAGCACCCGGCACATTTCCCGGAAAGACGGCCGCACAAGCGGTCACCAACCTACTGGACGGGCAGGGCGACACAGCCGCAGCCAAGTTTTTTGTTTGGCCCCAGGTAAAATTAGTGAGAACGATTGTTCGACGGGTAAGAGCAAGTTAAGATGCTCCCCGGACTGTTTTTGGACAAAAATGGAATTTTTGAATCTTGCGGGTAAGAGCAAGTCGAGATGCTCCCCGGACTGTTTTTTAGAAACTTTGATTTTGAAAATCTGACGGGTAAGAGCAAGTTGAGATGCTTCCCGGACTGTTTTTAGAAACTTTGGTTTTGAAAATCCGATGGGTAAGAGCAAGTTGAGATGCTCCCCGGACTGTTTTGGAAAAATGTTGTATTTTTTGAATTAACGGGTAAGAGCAGGTTGAGATGCTCCCCGGACTGTTTTTAGAAACTTTGATTTTGAAAATCTGACGGGTAAGAGCAAGTTGAGATGCTTCCCGGACTGTTTTTAGAAACTTTGGTTTTGAAAATCCGATGGGTAAGAGCAAGTTGAGATGCTCCCCGGACTGTTTTTTGGACAAAAATGGAATTTTTGAATCTTGCGGGTAAGAGCAAGTCAAGATGCTCCCCGGACTGTTTTTAGAAACTTTGATTTTGAAAATATGCGACGAGTAAGAGCAAGTTGAGATGATCCCCGAACTGTTTTTTGGAAAAATGTGGATTTTTTAATCTAACGGATAAGAGTACGTTCAGATGCTCCCCCGGAACTACGTTAGAAACGTTGATTTTAAAAAATCTGACGGGTAAGAGTCAAGTTGAGGCGCTCGCCGGACTGTTCAAAACGCTTTGATTTGATTGTGGAAATCCGGCAGAGAAGAACAAGTCCCCAAACGGTTGGGAAAACATTGATTTTGAAAATCCAGCGGGTAAGAGCAAGTTTAGATGCTCCCCGGACATAAAACTATGTTTATCGGATTTGTGAGAGCGTTGGTAGATGCCACCTTCCAAGAAGTAGACGGAGCCCTTCTGTCTTTTGTCCCAATGTAGAGTGGTCACCTCTGTGTGAATCGCGGAAGCAACCCCTGTGTGGGCCCATGTTTCCTGCGATAAAATGAATATTCCCTTCACACGTGTATGTCAGCCAACACAGGCGGTACAATGTTTGCAACTTGTGTAGAACAATCCCAGGTTTCAGCAAACAAACTTGAAACATTATGTTGGCTCGCGGGAACCTCACGTCTTCTGATCCGATTTTCACTAAAAAAATTTTGCTATACCCCAAATTTTGTTTTCCTCACCTCTCGTTTAACTTGTGCCGACTTCTGAGTACGGTTGAATGGGGGTGGAGTATCTTTTGGCGTTTTTACGTTATCTGTTAACGAAAAAAAAAAAAAAAAAAAAACGAAGACAAAAGGAGACACAAATTTGCTTTCATAAAAGCCCTTTCAGCAGCTTTCTGTCCCTGATCTGGTGCCACACATGGTGGTCGGAAATGGTTCCCACCAACCAAATAATTAGGGCCAGGACAGCCTTTCACCGCTGGCGTCAGTCGAATTGACTCAGCAACTTCGTAACGACCTTTCACAGCGGGTGCGTTGGTCGCACCCGTCCCCGAGCGGTCGTTCTTCAACTCAGCTTGACACTTGAATAGATCACAGCTACCCTCAGTCGAGAACCGGCCTGAGAAGTACTAGTATGCAACTGAAGAAAGTATGCCACGAGGGATCCTACGGGATCAAGTGGCCAGGAGACCCGAGAAGGAGAGCCAGGGGGACAGGCTGTGAACACAGCAGGGATTTCAAGCCGGTGTTCTGAAGAGTGAAGGACGAGAGATAAGAAAAAACCAAGGGGTACAATGACACTTAATGTACGATTTTGACTAGCGAGAGGTGAGGAAAACCAAGGGATACGATGATACATTACTGGATGTATTTGACGGAAACGATTAAAACAGGAGATTTCTGAAGGTTGATATGGACTGCATTTATTTGGTGGACGCAGGTTACATGGGAAGACGGTGCTAAGGGGGGATTCTCTATGCACGGGGGTAAGGTAAGCGATGGTGAGAAATGGAGTGGCAGAGTAAAGGAAAGGGTGAGTATTGGAGGAGAAAAATGTGAGTATTGGGTGTTAGAGCAGGGAAGGACTTGAGGAGAGGATACGAGTAATGTGGGGGCAGGTAAAAGAGGAAAGAAGGCCCCAGTACAACTCTCATATCTTAACCCGAGCAGAGAGCAAAGTGACGAGGGATTTTGATACTATCCCGAGTTGCTTTGCGCGCAGGGAGGGTAAGATAGCACGCACCCCCCATCTGGTGTCACTCTGTGGTCGCGGGTAGGATAAAGGGGACCGAAACCATTGCGCATCCCGGGGAATCGGTAGGGGAGACGCATGTCAAGTTTTAAAAAAAAAAAAAAAATACCCCGCGCAACGACCCAGTCATTTTGCCTCTGTTTGGGCGCTAATGGCCTTTCGCGGCCCCAGTACAACTCTCATATCTTAACCCGAGCAGAGAGCAAAGTGACGAGGGATTTGATACTATCTCTTAGTCTTACTACAAAAATTCCTTTACTCTGAAAACAATGTCATTTCTCGTTACCATTTCTTGAGATGAAATAGCTCAGCCCTAGCCTGGTTACCAAACCTATTATAGCTCCCGAGTCCTACATCCTCTCCGCAGCTCGGGAGCTATAATAGGTTTGGTAACCAGGCTAGCTCAGCCCTAGGTGCTATTGGCCCCTATTTCCTGCACTAACCTCTCTTAATACCAGTGTAGGCGTTGACTCTGTTGTCCACCAGCAGCACCAGACCACACAGTGTGTTGGAGTACAGGGACAGGGCTGTCTGGAGGCGCTGGGGCTTGGTACCACTGGACAGAACATGGGAAAGAAAAATTGTATAATTATCTTACTTTTGGAATAATACCTTCGTGTTAACCTTTGAGCAAATTTACAAAGATTTTTGTCACAATTTATCCAGGGGTGATCTAGTTTGCAAGCTGAAATTTACAATTCAGCAGACATGCAACTTTGCTATTGAAGGTTCTTACAACTTTTTATACGAAGCTGTGCTCCTTGATAGCATGTAGTGTAAGGATGGCTCACCCAATCTTGTTCGGTTTGTGTCGACACAGGTCCAGTGGATGGGCCCGCATCAGCCGGATGTTGTGCATGGTCTTCATTTGGGCTCCTGTTCAAAAATAAACACATAGCCATATACAGGGTCTAGGAGCTTATTTATGACTGACAGATTGATTTCAACAATTCTACATTAAAAAAATAGTTTAGTACATCTTGCTACAAATGTATAAATGCTACCTTATTCATGATCAGGTTATCTAACTCTAGCCATGTGGTGCTCCTTACCCAGATGTATGGTGAAGCTTTCCTCCAGCCTGGGCTGCTCCTCTGGTTCATTGTTATCATCTGCACCCTTGTCTACAGCATCTGACATGGCACGGATACGCTGGCTGCAAAGGTGCAAAATGTGCAGCAAGGAACATAAAAAATCATCACAGCTCTGATACACATTTTTAAAAGCATCTCTCTAGTTTTGGGTCCAGCCCTGGGATTATGGATCTGGAGGAGTGGACCACAGTTAATAAGGCTAGACAAAAAAACTAGCATCATGAATACAGGAACTGACTGGTACTATGTCAAAAATTCTAGAGTATACTTCAAGTGATCGCCATGACATCACAGCCAGTGAGTGGTATGCAAAAAGAGGGTGGCAGTTGGCTGATTTGCCTACCGATAATTTGTATATGCCTTCAAATATTTGTATTTTATTGTACGTGATGTCAACAAAAACAGCAATAACTCTTAATTTGATGAAACCAAACTTTCAAAACACAATCACACAGCCCCTTGGGGTTTCCCTTGATAGATACTGAGGGCCAATTTACACAAGGCAAAAAAATCATTTAATTTTGTCCTATGACAATCAATGCACAGTGCTGCACAGTGCACATTGACAGGTTTTGTTGAGCATGTAAACAGGCCCACAACCGCCACACACACACTCAAAAAATCGTCGTAGGACAATGTTTCTTCTTGCCCCATGTAAAATTGGCCTTGAGTGAGAGGATGCGTACATGGATGTCCTGTCCCGTTGCTGTGCTCCATGTCCTGGTGCACCTGTTTCACCCACTCCCTGTACTCATCCCGCTGGGTCTTCTGTAGGTTACACACCTCATGGTCCCACTGGACCTCCAGTCTCTGTACAAGAAGAAAACATTGGTATACAGTAAGGCCTACGAAAAAAAGGTTGTATTTCCCATTTCCCGACCGATGGTAAAAAAAAGTCAAAAGACTCTGGGTACACTAAAAGACACTACTCAAGTGATTGTTACACTTTCCTAAAGAAAGCATAGGCACATACACTAAGAAATCAGCAGGAGAAAATCCATCTCCATTTCTACTGTCAACTTTGCTTTGTCATAAGTACAAAGACATACCACCATACTCATAGCGAGAGATGACACATGATGCAAAATCCTCATCATCATCATCATCAGTCAGTAACCTTTACTAATGCTGGTCATCATTGTTTTCTGACATTTCTACTTCTTGCATGCTAATCACAAAATTACATTGTACTTCAACCAAACTAACCTGTGTGCTGTCAAAGTGTTTCTGTGCCAGGGTGTTGACCTGTTCATCAGTGTGGGTCGACCCCCAGGCCCTGCATGGCTGCCTCCATCTCCTGGTGCTGTCTGCAGGAGAGGATAAGAAAATATACGGTTGAGTTGCAGGTACAACCTGCATGTATATACATGGGGTATTAAAAACGTGAGGTTGGTGCGTTCTGTGTATTTCTTCCCACCAAATGGAGATGGCATGCTTGAACATAAAAGATAAGGCACTTTTTGATACGTACAGCAGTAGACACACGTGGGAGCACCTGGCGTGCCTACATGGGGCTAGGGGGAGGAATTCACACAAGTGCACACGAAGTGTCAACATAGGGCTTGGGGAGGGACTATGCAGTGGAGAGACTTCATGTTTATCTTCACCTACTGTACCCAAAGTTTAGCTCAAACCTGTGAATGATGACTCAGAGTTAGACTATCGTTTTCCTTTACTACTATTTTATAATACATTGTACATGTACTATGAATCTAGTATGATCTGAGCCAATAAGCTAGTACTGTACAACAAGATGACAGGAGACTGAGCCCACTTGTCCTCCAAGTTTTCCTGGCCTTCTCCCTGTGGTTGATGACGTCAGCGTTAGCGACAGCGTAGGTGTGCTCCAGGTTCAGCAGGGTCTCCAGGGCTGAGGAGTGGATCAGGGCGTGGTACGTCATGGCAAACTGGTGGTCCTTGTTTGCTGCCTCGGGCTCACTGTATCTCATGCACTCCTGTGGTGACAAACAGATGTATTGATAGATGTATTGATATCTTGACTCGACTATCAAAAGAGTATTGTTCTTGTGTTTGTGTTTCTGACCTACACGTAGGGGTGAAGTCTCTTATTTCCATTTTTCAGTCATTGTATGTTGAATACATTTAGTAAACTAGAAAGGTAATTTTGCAAAGCAAAGGAATAACATTTACCATCACTTGGTCTAGGCTAACAAACTATACTGCTTTTACTGCTCTGTTTAGTCTTACTCATTCATTTAAATTACATGTATTTGTTGACATAAGGCTCCAACTCTGTTTCATGATGTAATGCAACACCACAGGGTGTCTGCTACAGCACCACTGCTCCAGTTACCATGGTGACAGCTGTCTGGTCCAGATCATGACTGACCTTATGTGTCTGGAGAAGAAACAGCAAAATCATGTTTTACTTCTGCAAACTTGAAAGGTTAACATAATAATAAGTTCTTCATGACTTACCCTGGAGAAGGCCTGAGCCCAGCTTTCTGCTTTGTCCTCGACTGACTTTTCCCCGGAATCCAAGACTTTGAGGGAGTTTTCAGCATTCTCATCCTGCAGTTTGGAAGTCTCCACTGTGATGAACTCTTCCAACTGTTGAAGGAGATCTAGAAACACCAGGCATAGTTGTCATAGCCTGACAATATAGTGCTCAATTGGTCACACATACACAGTGTTAATCTTTCATTTATCAATTTGACAAATTTAAAAACTTGAATGTTTTGAAGTTTCTCCATATTTCTGGCTTATTTTAAGTCATAAAAATAAAGGGTCTGCCTATTTACCGGAATACACCGGAAAACACAGTTAAACACCGGAAAACACCGGAAAACACATATAGGAGGCTAAAATCTACCGGAATACACCCTGATATGATGAGATAACATGCTGAATTGCTGTATTTTGACATGAAGTAACGTGTATATCGCCGCGGGAACAAGAAATCGTTATGAATTGGCGATCGGCGATCGCGGAGGCGAGCCGACCAGTCGCCATGTTTGTTTACATTGCCGACTACGAAATGTTTGTTTAACGCGATCGCCGTACAGAAGTGAAATTTACCGAAATGAAAAGGTCTTTGATGCAGGTACCGCAGGTTGCTACATTCTGACATGAAATAAGTCGTATATGACTTTGTTTTATGACGTTGGGAACAAGAAATCACTATGAATCGGCGGAGTCGACCCGGCCAGACGCCATGTTTGTTTACTTAGCAGCCGGCTATAACGCTAGTGAACCTTTATCCGTCACTTTTTCTCAGTGACAATCATGTGACGCCAATTTCTAAAAATGATGAACCGTTTTTCTTGTCCTATTATTTGTTGACACCGTACAGTACCTTAGTCCTTTTTGCTGAATATGTTTCGCTGTTTCTCCGATCCCGCTGATAAGAAAATCGCGTACTAAACCAAACACGGCCGATTCGCGTTTATGCAGGGTTGTTCTAGGGAGATGAACCTTTATCCGTCACGGATATACACACCACAACTTTCTCTGTATTGTTTGCCTTTAGACAACATCTGTTATTTTCCGAGGTGGGCAATGAGTGCCCGAAATTCAATCCCCGTCCTACGATACAAAGAAAATACGGCAAAACGATTGTACAGTGTTGACAAAGCCCGATTTAATCGGCGATAGTCAGCGGAGCTCGTACAGTTCGAATGCACGCGTGTTATGTCCATCGCGATCTTGTCTTCAACTCGGACCACCGGCGGATCCAGAGGGGGGCGCACCCGGCGCCGCCCCCCCCCCCGTTCGACCGGGCAAAAAAAATTAGACGACTGGCCAAACACAAAATCGGAGAAAAAAACATAACATAACACATTTTAATAGAAAGGAAGCCTATGGTTACGACCAGTTCTTCCCGGATACGTCACGGACTGTAGAAGTACATGGCCGGGGCGACGGAGCGCCGCGCACGTGTTAATAATCCAGATTTTACACTATTAGCGGGCACGCCCCACCACGCCTAGACTCGATTATTGTTTACTTGTTAACACACTACTGTGAATCCCTAACCTTTGTGCCTCCCATCTATCGTCGATATTAACACGACGTTGCAGTAAAACAAGACTCGGACGCACGGTAAGAAAATGTACTAGGTCACTCACGTCCCGAGCGCAAAGACGCGCCGTGTGCTCGTAGGTCAAGCTCGTAGGTCATGCTAGCCAGCCGCCGATCTCAGTGGAACCCCGGCCGAAAATAAATACCCCCGTAAGAGTAAACACAATTCTAAGAGGGTTGGTAAGATTTAAATGGTCTGCAAGCCGTGAACGTTCCTGGTCGTCGTAACGTAACATGAATATAACATGGCAGTTGTGCCTCAACTGATGGCCAGTTCTAATGCACTTTCGACTCTAGTTAACACAGAAATTTTTAACAAAGATTATATCCATGTAATGCATGCCGTTACAAAGGTTCAGTTGACAGAAATCTTTTCATTTCGTATCACGAAATCTCTTTAAATCCTAAGAAATGCTGCAGGAAAATTTATTTGGAGCGGGACTATACCAGCCAGCGGTACGAAGTGAAAATGCGGGGTATATGTACACGGCACGGTTTGCTACAATATTTGGGCCTTTGAAATCTTTTGCCGCCCGCCCGGTGGGCGGGGCCAATGCCTTTGCTGAGGGCGTGACGCCGCTCTGTCTGATATGGACGTGCCGTCGTCTTGGCAACACATGGGAACGTCCCAACGACGAGAAGCTTTCCACCTTTGATTTTGTGACATAAGCAGTAGTTTACGAGATATTTTTTAAAAACCTTTTCGCTCGTTCCCGTTCAGAATAGTAAGCCCTAGTAGCCCCTCGTTCTTGTTCGTTTGCATCAAATTTTAAATTCGGTAGCACAGGCTCACTCCTCCGCAATCGAATTTTTTATTAACTAGCTACGCCGAGCTAACTTTTCCGTGGTCCGGCCAGGTTACAGCAGGCAAGGTGGCCTCATTCAATGTGTGTCTTCCGCTGACACCCGGCGCTCCAGAATTTAGTATTGTCCTAAAAATTTTGTGAACTCTTGAAAATGGTAAACATGTACGCGGCGCCCCGTCGCCACGGCCGTTACTTCACATGTTGTCACATTAGTGTTATCCGTTAGTGTATTTGAGTGCTGCGATGTTGTGACCGCGCGTTCCCCGCGATCGGAAAATGATTTAAGTGATCCGGTCTATAAAGAGGCGGCATTTCCTTTTGTATTTGGTTCTTTTTTTTGCTAACTTAGATGCATCGCGAACTCTTTATTTGCTCCGTTCCGTGAAATTTAGTCGTCCAAAACATAGATGCATTTTCAATACTAAGTATTCTATTTTCTCAGTCGTAAAAATGGGAGCGACAGGCACATGAATGTACTGAAAACATCAGTATTACTTCGTTGGTTATTTGCTCAGAAATGACTCTAAAATACACCAGAGAGACTCTCAATTTTAAAAATTACCTGGACGATATTAAAAGAAACACCCGGGAAATATGCAAATCTTACATCACGTGTGCCTGCTACGCGTCTCTGATTGGTTGAGTTTCTCTGCCGGCAAAAACAAGCGTGGGGACGCCCGCTCAAATAGTTTTCTTTGTTTGAAAATAACGCTAATTTCCACCACTACATAACGAAATTCTTGCGAATAAATGTATAACTCAAAAAGTCTTTTGGGGAAATAAATATTCTTATCCGGATTTTTGGTGTATTTGGTGTTCTTTATTCATGATCGAATGGTGCCGAAGTCAGCTAACCCTGACGCCCATGAGCGATTCGCGATCGCCTAAATATCGCTGAAGAGAACATGTTCAGATCCTGGCGATTATGTTTTAGATCGACTACGATAAAACTTCAGGGCTGTCCTCGGCAAAATCAGATGAAATTTCAGTGTCAAGCTTTGCAGGAAATTATCAAATGCCGCCGCTCGCTGACGCACGCACTCGCTCTGTGCGGGTCATTGACCTTCGAGTTGCGTTGCTTCTGGAAAATGTCTGGCAGTTTTATCGTCGGATTTTTGCGCTTTTATCCAACAGACCGACCTCGTAGCAATCATTCACGGGCATCCTATGCAACTATCTTTCTTCCAACTAGTTCGGAGTTGTGTGTATGGGAACCGCATCAATCTGAATAATCAATTCTCTTCTGTGATGGCGCTAAACAAACATCGTAGTCCGCAATGTAAACAAACATGGCGACTGGTCGGGTCGCCTCCACCGATCGCTAAATTATAATGATTTCTTGTTGCCGGGTTCCTGCGGCGATTTACACGCTATTTAATGGCAAAACACAGCAATTTGGGATGTTATCTCGTCTAAGCAGGGTGTATTCCGGTAGATTTTAGCCTCCTATATGTGTTTTCCGGTGTTTAACTGTGTTTTCCGGTGTATTCCGGTAAATAGGCAGACCGAAAAATAAATTATACCAAATCTCTTGACATTCAAAATTATGTCGACCCCCTGCCATTATGTCTGCCAACCTCCCCCGGCCCCGCCCACGTGCTGTCAACCTACTCTGTCCGGACAAGCATACACACAAACCCACAAACAACCCACCCAAAACAATGACGTAACGTTACCATCCTCCACATAACACGGCAGGTTGTGCGCGGCCACTAGTCTCCCTCTCAGGTCCCGGGCTGAACACTCCAGCGGAAGACTCAGGGGAACCGTCAGGCAAGACTTCTGGCTTCCGTTCTTAAACTGGAAGACAAACTCCTTCTCTAGACAGCCCGACATCGCCCTTAAACCAGGTGTGCGTCTTCAAGAGGAAGAAAGTGAGATCACAGAGTCCCGAGACACACCTGAACTCTTTCTCAGCTGGAGTTCCTTTCCTAGGCTTACAAATAAAGCGTATAATTTGTAGACACTGATTCGGCTGGATAATGCATATTTGAATAAAAGTAATGCAATATTTTGCAGACTTAAAAGCAGATAGAATGAAATAAATTGTTACTATTCTTTGATTTAATGTGCTTTTGTATCTAGGATGTGTATTATTTGATGATATAAAAGGGTTTCTGTGCAATGATTGTATATTCGAAGCTCTATACGAATTGTTTGCTATTTTTTTCTTGGGGAAGGGGGTCAACACAGGTCATCTGGCTCAGTTGTACTGGGAAGGTTGGCTTGGGTGCCATAGTTGTTTTGATGTTCAAACTTTCACGTTTATGCCTGTTTTGAGGCGTTGAACTGAAGGTTTTGCTTCTATAATGGCAGAATCAAGGCGTTCGGGAAGGTAGGTCGCCATGAACGCAACGCTGAATGGGGATCTGAGTGCACAGTGTAACAGTTAGTTGTCGCTGCTCTATGCACAACGTTATAAGTTTAATATAACGTCTCTTGTCAGAGCCGAAATTATAATATCGTCTTGGTCTATCCATGGTCTATCCGAGTCCTATAGACTTCACTTCATGTTTGCTATTCTGCGGTATTTTACTGGCTACCGGTTTTTGCAAAGCGTTTGCAAAGGTTACGTACAACGAGGTGTTGTTGCAAGAAAGTTCCGTATATATTTTTGAAACGGATTTAGTACCCTTGTTATATTCTTCTGGAACAGTTTACGGATAAATGAGCAATTCATAATGAATACTACTTCTCCAGAATGACAGGATTTTGTCAAGATGCAAATATAGTCAGATTCGTATCATTGTGTAAAATCTTAACGTTATACATTGTACATTTTAAATTACATCAATGAAAATTTATGGTGAAAAAGTAGTTTTGATTTCTGACATATTTTATCAACGTTAGTTACCAGTAAGTCATAAACAACACATCTTTCTTAAGAGTCTGTTTACTTCAACCAATTTATAATTGTATGACCAGGTATGATTTAACATCATGATGATTTTGAGCCTTGTTGTTGATTAGGTTCAATGCCTGTGACCTTGACAAATTACAGGATACAATACATACATTGTTGTTGAGTCTTATCAGTGATGGAAATCTAGGAAATTTTTTCTTTTATCTGCAGGGCTCACAAGAAGGTGGACTACAGTAGATTCGGAGGCAATGAAGAAAACGACAGTGAAGGTAAACATAAACATGTAAACATCCTGTTTAACTTTTCAATAAATTGGGATATTCAATATACTGGTCAAAGGATTTGTATTTCAGTTATTAATGACGTATAAATAAAAAACTATAATAATATTTGTTTTGTGCCATTGTTAAGTGTAGCAAAATGTGTTCCCTTGCAATATATAGCTAATATCATTGAGGTAAATATTTGGAAATATGATTTGAAGGCATTTATGACAACTTCATACCAGCTCTCTTCATGCAGACATTCAGGTTTAGCATTTACTATTAATATCTAAAGTTTTATCTGCAGTTTTTTTCTGCACCCCACGCCTCACGCACCTCACGCACACATTGTGGAGTGGTTCTTATAGTTATACCACACATTTTCCACTTCACACAGATGACTTTGCAGACTTCAACCCACCTGCCAAAAAGAAGAAAATCACAGGGGAGCAGAAAGAGACAAAGAAGAAGGAATCGACAAAGAAAACATCTTCCAGCAAAACATCTGAGAAGACAAAGAAGGAACAGAGGTCAGGCAACTGTTTATATGCTGGTTGCTTAATGTTATTGTTAGCCATCAGGAATGTATATTGTGGCATGTGTATTGGAAGGTATGCTTGGATGGGTACCATTCCACCACTTTTCAAGTTGATATTGTTAGAGATAAAGGGGCTTAATCACTAGGCATATAATTAGTGTTACCTGCCATGTACTAGTAAGAGAGGCAACCATATTTTTGTACAAATTTTGTTATTTTTATTATTTCCTATATTCTAAGTGGTGCTGCAGGTAAAATTTGTGTGGTGCAGGTTTCAATGTTACCTGTGCCATTGCAGATATGCAGAAAAAGGAGTCCTGTTTCAACACTTATGAATTCCACCTGCAACTGATTACTGGCAAGACCAAAATATACAGCTACTGTATCTGCAATCTACAAATGAGGATTATGAACAGTAGAAGATAACTTAAAGATGTCTTGACTTCCTCCAGACTGTCCCTTGAGGAGAAGCTGTACCAAAGGGACCTGGAGCTGGCTCTACAGCTGTCCAAACAAGACACCCCTTCCTCCAGCCAACCAGAGACCAGCAGCACTAGCCAATCAGAACTGGAACAGGCAGCTACCAAAGGCAAGTTGTACAGTACAGGTGTGCTGTACTTTATTGGGATGTCTAAATGCAGCTATCCACTTGCTCTTTGCCTGGAAACTATTTTGTCTTCATTCAGGCCAAAATAGGAGCCATGAAGGCAACATACCAGGCTGGTTTAAAATTTAAACAATGAATTTTGAACTAGGAACTAGGAAGAAAAGGACTGTCTTCAACTTTTTGGGGCAAAATATGAGCATTTTTCAGTTGATTCAGAATTTTTTATTTTTTATTGCAAATCAAAAAAAACTGAAGCGGGTGAATCCGTGAATCAACAAATTAAATTGGCGTGGCCTTATCGTGACTTACTAATGTTGTCCTTGTTGTTCTACCCTGAATGTGGTACTAAAGTGGGCGATGTTCCTGTCATGTTGATAACAGAAGACTCCAGTGACATAGCCAGCATCCCCACACCCACTCCCAGCACAGACTCGGCTGAGAGACCAGTGGAGACACAGTCAGCAGACAGTGATCTGGAGGAACCCAGCACCAGGAAGAAGAGACAGTCCAGGGTGAAGACACAGCCAAGATCAACAAATAAAGAAAATGGAGGGAGAGACGAGGAATCCAGGGTAGAAGATATTGATGATGAGGAAGAGGGCCAGGAAGGTATGTCATTTAAGTGAAAGGTACGAAAAAATGAAAGACTAGTGTGCAATAAAAGGAACGAAGGTTTAAAAATCCAGCATATTGTATATCAAACATGTTAATTTTTGTCATTAGCTGATTGAGGATGGCATATATCTGTGCTTTCTAAATCCAAACTAGAGCCTTTTATTTAGAGGTTTTACGGATTATTAAATAATACCACAAAATTTGAATCCTATTGATACAATTAAAGCTTACAGTTATAGATATGATATAAGCCCAGAAATATGTATATGTCACAGGGGAGATTGAAATCCAGGATCATTCTGGAATTGCCCTAGGGGAGATTGGAATTCCAATCTCTCCAAGGACAATTCCAGACTCTCCTAGGACAGATTGAAAAAAAAAATACATTTACTGTGTTTTGAGAGAATTTCAAAGGAAAAATCAGAGACAGATAGGATTCCAGTCCTGCTCATGATACAAATCAGTTCACATTTCAAAGAAAAATTTGGACCTTTAGATAAAGTGGACCTTCCGAACATCCCTACCAACCAACCCCCACACACCGCACCCCCGGGTATGGGCATGTATTTTTACACAAGTTATAAACCCTCACAGTGTCATCAGAAGATGAAGACAGTGACTTTGACCCTGATGAAGATGACAGCGACTATGAAACGTCCAGGAAACGGACACAGAGTCGGCGGGGCAGAGGCAGGGGGAGGGGAGGGGCAACGGAGAAGAGACCACGACCAAAACCCAGATTGTCTGCAACAGGTAACATTTATGGAGAGGGTTTCAGAGTTTGTAAGGACCTGTTATTTGATATTCAATTAAACTAGAAAGGTAAATGCATATTTTCCTTTGCATGTGGTCTGCTCTGTTAATTCGTACTCAAACACATTCATACATGTATATATGGTGCTAGGAGTACAAATCCCTCCTGCTATAAAATTGCAACATGACAGACATCTGGTTCAGATCATACATTGTATTTGTTTGGAGAAGAAGAGGAAAAAGAAACAGAGCAAAAACAATATGTTTTCAATATGTTTTCAACAAGATGCTTTCAAAAAGTATTTCTGAATTGCAGAACAAAATTGTTACTTTCTGCAGTATTGCAGAACACTGAAAAGAGCATTTTTACCACTGTCCCCAGTCACACCCATCAAGACCTTCAGTGGGAAGAGTGCGTCCCCCCGCCCCAGGGGGAAGGGGCTGGGGCGGGCCATCGTGGGTCTGAGCGCCGCGCTGTCGTACAACTCGGACGGCTCATCAGGCCGGGACTCACCGGACGTGTCTCACATGCTCCCCGCACGGAGCAGCAGCGGGGAACTCATCATCAGGAAACCAAAATGGTGTCCGCCAGGTAGGACTAACATGTCTGTCTTCTTAGAGCTGCTGCTGAACAAATGGCCACTTTTAGGCCACAGCAAGTAACAGACTCCAACTCTAATGCGACCAGAAAAATAAGTTTCCTACATTCTCAATTTTTGACATCATAGGCCTTGTTAAACAATAAATGATACCTATATTGTGGTAAGTTTACTGCCAACTGCTGTAAAATTGTTCTCCCTATCCCCCCTGAATTTTTGAAATGGAATAGTCCTTATGTTTGACCACATTGTTTCTGTAGGTCCAGCAGGTACCAGTAAGTCAGGAGGAGGGGGGATCAGCAAGTCTCCAGCCCAGATCAGAGTAGGACTTTCCAAGAACCAGAAAATAAAACCGCTGCACCCTGTCAGACCAGCTTCTAATGGAGACTAGCAGACCTGACTCTCTCTCATGCCACAACAGCTTCCTTCACAGCATCTCTACCTCCGGCTTTGGGATATTCTATTTGGAAAAGCCAATAAGGAATCAAGATTAAATGTTCCTTACACCATACTTGTTAGTTACCATTATTTTAGTTAAATGGACATTCTGTGGCTGCTGTGAATACCTTTAGATAAAGTGTCATACTTTTCAATTGTGGACATGTAGCCTGTACAAGACTTTGTGCTGTTGTGACATTAAGAACATTGCATGTTTCAAACCTGTGACCTTTCTGTGAAATGGTACATTCCAACACAATGCTTTCATATTCAGAAATAGGCTAGAAATACATGTAGGCACCATGTGAAAGGCATTGCTTTACCTACATTGTAACATTTGACAAACTTTGGCCCCAAAGAATTTTGTGATGCTTTGTTACAGCATTATTTCTCATATTTTAATATTTGCCTGTTTTAGAAAACATTTCATAAATTGGTGTGATAAACATTTAGCTGTTCCAGACAAGCATGTTTGAAAAGGTCAGATGGTCATTATAATTTGAGCATCTGCAATGAATACAATGGAATACTAGTAGATTCTTTGTATCAAAAAAGAAGACCACTTATAGAGCTAATGTTAAAAGTGTTTGTTTTCATCACTGACTTTATCTATTCAGAGTTTAGTTGACAGAATTTACTACAAAATATGCATGTACTTCTTTTCCAATTGGATATAATGAATAAGAATTTAGGAAAGCACAGATATTGTACATGTATGTGGTCACCATTTCAATTCCCTTTGGCAAAAACATTACTAGATATATCCTCACATGTATATAGACTATATTAGTCAATATGTCAAAGATTCTGTTGAAATGTTTTATACAACAATTTTTATACTGATGGTGGCAGTTCCATAAATTGAACCATTTTCTTTATTCATCATTTGTGATAGTTATCCTCAGTGTAGTGCCAAATAACTGTCAGTAAATTAGCAGTAGGCCCGTCTCATGTTGGAGAATACTGGTAGTAAAAATCCAATCTGTATAGTGTTTCTACATTTCCAGTCATGTAAGATGGAAATGATGCTTTACTCAATTTGCAGTTTGATACACACAACTTCTACCTGTAAAATGCACATGTCGTTCTGCCAAAGAGATGTTTGAATCTGCACAATCTAATAAGAGCCAGTTATAGTTTGGGCCATACTATAGTAGTGTATATACACAATACAACAGAGACATTTTAAATTATGTAGAGTATATAAGATTAGTACACTTCTTCAGTAAGTTCTTGCACCGTAAAAATAACCTCTAGTGTATTGTTTTATTGCATGGAAGACAAGACACACATGTATACATGGACACAAGAAGGTGGTATTTCTATTCAAGGTTTAATGTTTTTTCCTTGACTACTATTTTTTTCTTGTGGCCGCATTTATTTCAGGTGTGGCAGTGCCGATTATTTTTATACATAGATGCTGTATTGTTGTTAGAATTATATTGACAATAAAGCATTATACATCCATGGTCATGTCTGCTAATTGCTACTTTAATGTCTGTACTCATTTTGACTAGAGGATGAAGGTCATACCTGTAAAAAAATTGGCTGCTTTTGAGTATATTTCTGAGTACCAAATAAGGTAAAGTTAGCTAAGGCCACACCAATTTAATTTCTTGGTTAACGGATTTGCCCGCTTCATTTTTTTCTGATTTGCAAATAAAAATTCAGAATCAAGTGCAAATGCTCATATTTTGCCCTGAACAGTTGAAAAGAGTCCTTTTCATCCTAGTTGTAAGTTATTCCATCTTTAAATGCAATGGTATCATTAAAAGTTCAAAATTCATTATTTTTGAACCAGCCTGGTGTGTTGACTTCGTGGCTCCTATCGTACCATTTTGGGCCATAATAGGATGCCTAGGCCTGTTTTTATTTTTTTTTGCCCGCCCGCTCCATTATTTTTCTAGAAAAATCTGTTAACCAAGAAATTAAATTGGTGTGGCCTAATGTATGCCTTTTAAACTATTTTGTGTCATTACATGTACGGCCATGTAGTTGATTATATTAAATACAAATGTATCATGGATGACATCCTCGACTGGGAACCCCAAAACTGATGCAAGTGTGTAAATAGGATTTACAGTATGGTTGAAATCTTTTTTTCAGAAACGGATGTAAATTCAAATCACCATACTAGCCTACAGGTGAGTTATAAAATTGTGGCCCTTTCCCATTTTGTTATCCTCTAAATATATAGCAATGTCCATGAAAAATAAGAAGGCTTTGCATTTCAGTAATATTTTATTACAGTTAGACACAGGAAGACAGTGTGAAGCGAAATACATGTATTTAAAAAATACAAAATGTATATGGTCAAGTCAACCCAAAGACATTGACTTTTCAACATTTAAAATTTTCTGGTACAAAAGATACGTGATAGAATGAGTAGGCAGTAAATGTAGAAAAATGCTTAATGTATTGCTAATTACTTTTTTTTTACCATTTTTGTTCTTTATGGTAAGCTTTATCATACAGCAAAGACTACACAGATGAATGTAATATATACAGTACAGGTTGAACAATTCATAACAGGAGAATATGATATGAGAGACGACCACTTTCAGCACTTGGAGGTTGTATAAGAGACAGTAGACAGAGGCAAGAAAAAGTCTTACATACAGATTTTCAAAGTCCATGTACTCTACAACTGACTGGATATGCTTTGGTAAAATATTTCCATGCACAGCCAACTTTCAGTGGCACACTCAACCTTTTTCCAGTTGCTGACACTGCAGCAAATTTCTTTGTTGCCCGTAACTAAAAAAAGGTAGTATTGTACATCCATATTGTCTGTAAATCCAACAATAATCCTTGTGAAGGTATGTACGTATACATGTACGGTGCAAGTTGAAAATCAGTTAAAATGAGAAAGGCTGAGGGTTATGAATCTCTTGAATTATTCCTGGTTATTTGTGTCCTTTTTTACTTTTCTGTGTCAGTGACGGTGCCTGGTAGTCCTGGAAGCGCTCCTGTGCCCGCTCCTTGGACAGTAAGGTCAGGGTCATGGTGTTCAGTGCACTGTCTACCACCCCTGTCTGCCCTATCTCCAAGTTCATGTTGTTTGCCTACATGTACAGATAAAATAAGAATCAAACCAGTTTATATACTGCTTACTTCATTAACATCTGTGAATAGTTTCATCAAGTCGGTAAGTCACTGAATAAAGAGGCTCTTTGTCGGAATGCATCTATAGCAGCGACACCATGCACACCGGTCAGAATTGCCCTGAGGAAGGTGACAGATGGTCACCTAAACTGACTAAAACACTCGGTCTCTTTATTCAGTTACTTCATTAGCAGTTCTTATGAAAATCACTTAAAAATCTCCTATAATCGAGGGAAAAGCTCACCAGCTGCAGGGAGGCAGCGAATGTCCGACAGACCCCCCAGGCGGCCTGACCACGGCACACCTCGTGTAGCGGGCGCACCTCCCCCACGGTGTGGAAACGCTCCAGGGTCTGGTCAGCACAGCTGTGGATGTCAAACGGACCGTGCCTTTCCTGGGTTCAAAGAAACACATTAAAACTTGACAAGCTTGTTCTAAAACTGATTTACTCTGCAACCATGTCAAATTTAATAGCAGAGAGTCCTTTTCTTCCTAGTTGTTAAAGTTTTTCAACGTAACAATGCAATGTTGTTTCATTAAAAGTTTAAAATCTATTGTTTTAATTATAAACCAGACTGGTATTATAACTTCATGGCTCATATTGTAACATTTCTGGCTATCATGGGGTGCCTTGGCCTGTTTTTTTTTTGCCCTGTCGCTTCAAATGCTTTTCTGAAAAATCCAAAAAAGAACTAATTAAATTGGTGTGGCCTTAAAATAATAATTATATTCAAAATTCAGTATATAGGCTTTTCATATGATATAATGCACAGATACCTGCCAATCGTAGGTATTCATATTATAATCACAGTATCATGATGTCAATGACAAGCCTCTATAGCATAAATTTGACAAATTAATCTTTGAAGACCCACCTCTTCCTCCAGGTGAGGTAGAATTTTTTCCTCCCATTCCCTGATCCGTCTGGACAGCTGTGTCTCCTGGATGTACTGTGCACTCTCCAGAAACCCATCCTGGATGTCACAGCAACAATTAACATGCAGGCTGAAATAGCACTACACACAATGCAACAACTATTGCTGGATGCATAGCAATATACACAATGTCATGAATGACATACACCAGGTACATAATATGTACCATAGTTGCTTTTTGCTCAGCATCTGCAATAAAGTGTGAAGAAATATTTACAAAACTTGCACCATTTTGATTTTAGACAATTATTTCCTGAGGTACATACAGAAGTTAGTAAGTAGTACATAAATGCATGTACTACATACATGTAGTACCATAAATGCAAGCTAAACAGAAAGCAGTTGAAATGCAAGATACACTAAAAGAATATACACATCAGTTCAGTAAACATCACAAAAAAATGACTAATATCATATGCTATACAATGTACTAATTCTTGAAGCGATAGGTGTAACTGTGTGAGTACCATCTTGTACTACATGTAGTAGCACTCTGAGGTTACAGCCGTGTATCCATTCTTCTAAATACACCCAGCTACAACAGTGGCCAGCCTTATAACACATTCTGTCCGTATTTGTAAGACTCACCACATATTGTCTGACCATGTCCTCGTATGTCTGCACCATACTGTCTTTTGGGAGTTCCTCCAGACCTGTGGGCATGGGCGGGGCCGCTTCTGTCTCCGTGCCAACTGGCTCAATCTCCAAACCACCAAAGTCATTGTCACCATCATCGTCATCATCATGGTCCAGGGCAGGGAACCCTGGAGCTTCTGGTACAGAAATGCTGTCAGACTTAACTCAATTATGTTTTTGGTATTGACACATCAGATGAAACTACAATGTATAAGGCCACACTAATTCAATTTCATGGATGACAACCTTGTGTGCACTCGTTCTCAAAAAATAAAATCACCTCCTCTAAGGTTCTAACCTACAACAAGGTGACAACAGGGAGCCGGCGGTAACTACAGAGGACAGCACCCAGGCTGCCAAAGCTCCATGGAACTCAAGAACTGTGCCGACTCATAAATGCCAGAATATTCCTGCTTGAATGTAGTTACAGTATGTACTACTGGTACATGTACCACAGATTTGCAAATCCAGCTTTGTATTACTGTGGTTTAGCAGTAATTTTTTTGGCTGGACTTTTTTGGCGACGCCTTTGGGGCGGAGGCATTTGTGTAAGTACTACGATCGCTTTGAAAGAATTTCAAAAATTGCACGAATGCGTTCCCCAGGGAATTGGTTTGGAGGAAACCTTCCACCATGTGGTTTTTGGATCAAGCAGGTAACTTACACGGGTGCCCACGTGCCACCCATCCTGCTGCCTGGCATGATTAATTACTGGTCATCAGTCTTCTCCCCACACCATGGACAGAGAGCACAGCTGTCTTTGGCCAAAGACCATATTCAAACAGGTCACAGAGAGAAAAGAAATTATCCGTCCTTTTGGAACCCACAAAAGGTAAAAAAAGTCAAAGGAGTAACAACTTCACGACCAGACATAAAATCCAGTCTCTGGTGGAGGATAGAGTGAAGTGGAGGATGGTTTTCAGTTTGGTTCTAGCGGGAACTCGACCAAAGTAAAGTAAGTAAGTATGTCATCATAAAATCTATATTGCTGGGAAAGAACGGCTGATTCCTCCTATACGTGTATTTGGTATATTGCCCCACACCTCCTCCACCCAGCCTGTAAATTTCACTACGTGCGTGTCTTTATAACATAGGGAAATATGTTTTCTGATAATTGTAATGTAGATTGCTAGCTCCACCACATGAAATAATATATATCATTCAGTCGTCGCCTTGGCAATGATTTTTATTGCCTCAGCCTTGTTCTATTTGCCCTCTCACATTAGTTTTGGGGCCTCCAGAGGACGTCATCCCAAAAATTAAGTCAGTGTGGCCTAATGGAGAAATGAACATGGCAAAAGAACTGCTCGTCATTATAAACTCTTTTCCGCATTGTCATGAAACATTATGAACCATGGTAGACAAACCTTCTTGCTCTTCTTCCTCTTCCTCTAAGTACTCTGGAACTGCCTCTGTCTGAAGATTGAAATAAACATTTAAATGCCTGTGTCATATTAGTCTTGATGGAAGAAAACTTGTTAACAAATTTTACCACATGCTCTTGATGTCAGTTGTAACTAGATGATTTACTTAAAATTTCTATGACTTAATTAAAATCAACAAAACCATGTCAGTATTTTTACCTCCAGTTGCTTTTCAAGTTGTCGACGTTTCTTCATGGCATCCCAGTACAAGTGCTCTAAGGCTAGAATCACCAAAAAAATCATTGTGTATGTTAATTATGTTTGACAGTACATTTGTATATTGGCTACATATGCAGTAACTACTATAACTGAGTGCACGGAGCCTGCAGTAGGGGTGTTGTCAAAAGTTTGACTGTAACTACTGACAGAATACTTGACGTTGTAGTAAATTTTAAATATAGATATGTAATATTAGAGACATTTTACATCAGATATCAGAATATCACAAAACAATTTAAAAAATGACTTACAACATAAAAAATACAACTCAAATGTACCTGCAAAAGTTGGTCTTTTTGTTGGGTTGGTAGGAAGCTTCTTGTCTCCCCAAACTGCAAAATGATAATGATTTTGATGTCAATACAATGTAAAAAAAAATTGGTGTTTATTTAAACATCAAACATTAGTAAAGTTTGTACCAAGACTGTTTTGAACTTTAGCTGTAGTGCTCACTACAGTACTTAACCTGTGCTAATGAGTCTTAAGTCAGAAGAAAAAAGGTGGGTTTCCTGTTTCCCAACCGACCCTAGAAAAAAATGCCGACCCTAGGCTTTTTAGGGGTGGACCCCTGCAAGGGACATGAATTTTTCAAGCTGACCAACCTTTTCTAGCTCCATGATCTGACATGTGAGTGATGAAACATTGTACAATCAGTTTTCCAACACTGACATAAAAAATGTAAGCATCCTTATGCAAGTTTTGATCACTAGAGATTTACAACGTCTAATAAAAAAGATAATCCCTACCTACCGACACTAATTTTTTCAGGACTGAAACAGGTCAAACACAACATTTTTTCCCTAGCCCTTACGAGTCTTAGAGATGAGATCAGGGAGTGGTTCCAGTTGGGTGCTGGCTGCCTTCAGTTTCCGCTTCTTGGCATTTCCTGACAGTCCTGGCAGCACTTGAAATGGCACACCTATCCAGACAAGGAGTATATGAACATAACATGGTATGTTAGAACAGAATAGGACATCATGAAGGTTCATCTGTGTTGGTAGTTATATGTTTCTACATGTTGGATCTAAACTTTTAACTTTAAAAAGTTAAAACTTTAGATCCAACACAAAGAAGTTCTCTCACCCAGAGCTTTTGACCAGTCACTCTGGTCTTCCTCAGTAGACCGACCCAGTGTTGACGTCACACTTCAAAGAAGCTACGTGACATTTTAGCCTCACTGGGTCAAAAACTCAGACAAGGAGGATCTAAGGTCTAAGGTAAGGGTCAGTATACTGAGGAAGACCAGGACTGGTCAAAAGCTTTAGGTGAGAGAACTTCCTTGCGTTGGATCTAAAGTTTTAAATCCAAACAGCCTGTATTATATTTATACATCATGTAGTATACTCATCGATAAATAAAGGATAAATGACATCTCTGCAAATTTCAACAAATTATAAATGTAGATATGTAAATGCTGTAGCCTCATGGCTGAACTACTCTCCTCACCTTTCTTGAAAGGCAGGGACCTCATGTTTGTGATGGGCTGTTCTTCATGTGGGTCTAACAGCTTCCAAGGGTCATTTTTTACCTGTCATATCAATGAGAATGCAGGTTTCATTATTTATCATACTGGGTATAATATTAAATCTGAATTTCAGCTTGCAATATGAAAATACTGTGTGTAAGAATTACGATGCATTTCATTCCAAAATTATGACTTTTAAAGCTTTCAATAAATATTGAGTCTAGAAACCTTTGACAAGAATCCATTGTTATAGTGATTATGTAACACTGTATGATATCAAAATGCCATGAAGTCCTAAAATAAAAACTTGTAAGTTTTACCTTTAGGCCACACCAATTTAATTTGTTGGTTCTCGGATTCGCCTCTTCATTTTTTTCTGATTTGCAAAAAATAATAAAAAAATTACTAAAAAATGCTCATACTTTGCCCCCAACAGTTGAGGAAATTCCTTTTCTTCCTAGTTGTTACAGTTTTTTCCATCTATCAATGCAGTGGTTTGATTAAAAGTTCAAAATTTATACTTTAAATTTTAACCCAGCCTTTTTTGTTGACTTCATGGCTCATATTGTAGCATTTGGGGCTATAATAGGATGCCTAGACCTGTTTTTATTTATTTTTTTTTTTCGCCCTGTCGCTTCATATTTTATCTGAAAAAATCCGAGAACCAACAAATTAAATTGGTGTGGCCTTACCTGTTCTTTTGGTTCCACGACGTGAACTCTTGGTCGTAGGTTCCTGGGTTCGCTTGCGGCATTTCTCTCCGGATTGTCCCACTCCAGGTCATCCCCACCCCCGTCGCCCATATCTACTGGATCATCCCCCAGGGGCAGGGGGTCTGCACCTCCGTCATCACTGCACACTGAGGAGATTGTTCAAACAGTTAACACATTTCAGGATGTTACTACCAGAGGCTCTAGCCAGTTCCAATTTTTTTTCAGCCCAGTTCCATGACTAGATCAGCGGTGGTGGGTATCACTGTAGGGGAAGTCTGGGGGCATCAGCCACCCCCCGTGAAATTTTGAGTTTTCAAGCCTTCAAAAACACAATTTCCTGCATCTTGAGTCTGAGGCAAATCATGGGGTTAAGAGTAGTTGTGGGTGGTCCTTCAGACGTTGTCAATTTATTTTTACTCAAGAATTTTGTCGATTTTCTCAGTAAAGGTAGGCGGATGGGTTTAAAAAGTCCTCTGTCACACGCTGCAAAGTTCCGGCAATTAAAGGAAAAACGAGCACTGGCTAGAGCCATGGTTGCTACTTAATTTTCCTTTTTCTAAACCAGGCCCAAAATCTGCAAATTTACAGTAAAAGCTGGGCTGCACAATATGTGTCTGACAGCTTGGGCTACCAGTACAGACTTATAATATACAGTAATACATACAGTAATTATACAGTACTATATATATACTGTACCTGTATGTATATATATTTTTTGCTAATGTTCTACAAATATTATCTCCAACTTACGAGGAGGAAGTTCTATCTTATCTGTACAGTCCATATGCTGCAGGTCACACAGTGTGCACTACTTAGTACTTCATACATGCATGATGATTGCATTACGCAAGTGCACGCTCTGAGGGCCTTGTAATCACATTACAGAATACTTCATCAAATTTTCCCAGCACAAAAATGTAATTACATGGATGCAGAATCCTATCTCACGATGGATTGAAATGAATTGGAAGAACCCTGCACGGGCAATTCAGGGTTAGCACTAATAATTTTAGTACTGTGCTAGTGATCTTTTTTTTTCTTTTGCTGTCCTGAAATTGTATTGGATGCCTTTTAAGAACTCAAAATCAAGAAGCGATACATATGCTACATTGTAGTTCACTAGTTGTCTCTATTTGTTGTCCTGTATGCTTTTGTGTTATAAGAATAATTCCTTACTGCTTGTGTTGACTGGTAGATCATCGGGTGGTGGTGGAAGAATCTCTGTCCCGGGGACTGCCTGCAAATCTCCAGCTACATGCAAAATGTAAAGTGTTCCAAGAAAGACTTAAGGTCAGAGTTCTCAACAGTATCTGTTATTCTAGCACCTGATGGAATTTAACAGCCACTAATTTTTCTGCTGTTACTGCTGGAAAAAAAAATTCTTCTGTACCTGCCGCCACCGTGAACATATACTAGTAGTTGGGCGAACATTACCAATTTTCTCAGACCGAAAACTTTTGCTACTGCAAATATAAAGTGATTTACAGTATTCCACAGTACAATTCTAACCTTCTTTACCTGGTGTAGTCCACCTGGGGTCTTCAGTCAGGTTGAGTTTGGAGCAATTGGACCGGTCCAACATGAGGGTGTCGGGGGAGTGCAGGAGGGCAAAATTCACCGTGAAGTCCATACGACTGCCCAGGGTGTCACCCTTCTTACTGTGGGGAGAGCAAAATGATCCTGAGACAATATAGAGTTGAGAATTTGGGGATGGAATTCAAGAGGTTTTATCTTACTGGTATTTCATGGTCTTTATACTTGAGTACAGTGAAGTAGCTATTTGACTAATCTATTGGTTACAGGGGTAGGAATGATACATGGAATGGCTAGTGAGTAGAGTGTTTGCCTTGCATTCGGTAGGTCTTGAGTTTGATCCCTGGCCAAGCATACCAATTTAGCAGTATGTACCGTTTTTAAAGACTGTACATAGTGATTGCATAACTGTGTGGCTCAAGGGCTATAAGACTGGAGGTGAGCTCCGCCTTATACATCACCTGGTGCGGAAAGGACTTATTAACTTTTTTAAAGGGTTAGGCAGCAGGGAGAAGGTTAAGAACTTTCTTTTTACCTGACTAGTTCTGCATCTTTCTTCTCTCCCTCCTCTAATGGAGTCAGAGCCATGGGCACTCGCTGTACTATCACAACCTGAAACACATGGAATAGGGAGATCACAATCACAGTGTAGGCAGAGAAGGACATTCTGTAGATATCCTCTGAAAAAGATCAGCTGGTAATACCTTCATCACAGTGGGTAATTTACTTTATGTCATACCCGTGCCACGATAACGTTCAATACGGGTGTTTTGGCCTGTGTGATAACTAACCGTTATATTTGAAGGTGGCGTTGTGTGTGGTGTAGTGATACATCACTGGACTATGAAACGGGGAGACCCGGGTTCGATTCCGGGTCGTACCCGAACAAGTCCGAACATGCGCCCGACGTTGTACCAATGGGAAAGGTACTTTACAAGACTTTCCTCACTTCACTCAGGTGAAAATGAGTACTTAGCTTCAGCTAGGGACGTCCCTCGGATAGGACGTTAAATGGAGGTCCCGTGTTTGGGAGAGCCACACCCCACGCACGTTAAAGAACCCACCGCCAACTTATCAAAAAGAGTAGGGGACCTTCCCGGTGTGAGTGGTTCAAACCTTACAGTCTGGTCCCAGAGTTGACATCTTTGAAAAGGTGATAGTCACCTGTAATGTCAATCCTTCCACAAATGTGGTAAATCTTAATAAATAAATGAATAAATAAAATAAATAAACCGTATCACACAGGGTTCTAATAAATGGTTATCATGCAGGCTTCCAAATGTTCCATACAATAATTTGAATGTGAAAATTTGAACACTGGATTAGGATGTTGGAATGTAGGATGTTGTTACAATTTTTTGGTGAGGGACACCAACTTTTGGTACATTTCACATTGAAATGTGTGTTTTCTGGGGTGGGTATGACAATAAAATACAACACAGCGCCTGGCACATCACTCTTGTTCCCAGCCCTCCTGCGAGTGGAATCTCCCTCTGGCCTTCGGGTAATCCAACCGGTTGGGCTAGGTACCTTGGGTGATACGGAATACACCATATATACCGGTAGCATAGTATTCCTATTTATTGAATTTTTTTTTTTAATTGAAAGTGCAACAATGTAATACACGCGGAACAGAGGCAGCTGTTGTGTTGTGTCCCGCACATAGAAACGTATACTGGACAGACAATGCTCATTTTCACATTCATAATCATAACAGAGAAACAGAGTGACCCAGAGTAAGCCAAGAGATACTCACATTTTTGTTCTGGTCTGGTTTTAGCTCAATACCTCTTTTGCTGGGCTGTACTGGGACATCATCATCCAAGCTGAGAAACTTATCAGGAGGAAAAGGGAGATCAGTCAGTACTAGTAACTAAAATTCTAGACAGAAATTTTGCTTGCAAGGCAATGCTCAGTCTTTGACAGAAATATTGGAGTGCTAAGTGCTTTAATGATCATTCCCAGTGTTCTAGCCAGCGTCCGTCTTTCCGTCATTTGACAGAATTTTGCCACTCAAGATGCTCCTACTGAAAATGTTGCTGAAACCATCATCTTTGATGGACAAAACTCAGTGTGTAAAGATGTGGAAAGAGTTGTCATTAAACTAAGCTTAGTCTACCAGCCAAAAAATGCAGGAAGTAGTGTTTTAGAGGGTTGTGATTTTCAACTATCACGGTGGAGCATGCCCCCGGACCCTCCTATAGGGTCGTTGTGTCACAGGAGCTCTACATGATGTTACGTCAAACAAAACTAAAATTGACATGATGAAAAACAATTCAAGCTGGCTAGAACCTTGATCATTCCACTCGCTTGTTTGAACAGGTGTTAGATGTTTTCCTCTTCCTTTGTCAAACAGCTTCATTCCACTCAACTCAGTTACCTCAGGTTCCTCCCATCCCTTGTTGGCCGGAGCATCCTTGTCTTGGCCATCTTCATCCAGGGATGAACCTTGCTTCTGTCTGTTTGATACAAGCAGAAGACGATGATGAAGAGACAATTTTACACAGAGGGAGAGAAAAGACAAGGTAGAGCATTATAAATCTGCACCTTACGAAAAGAAGACAACATAAGGAAACACACTAAATACTCCTGATGTTTGGGTATTTACTAGTACATGCACCTCTTTTTGCTGGCCAGCATCTCCAGACTTTGGTAGACCAAGGTGTACAGCAGTTCCACCTACAGTAACACAGGCAAAATAAAATGACGAGATATGAAAAGTGGGTTTGGGAGACAACTGACAAATGGTCCAACTATTCAACAAAAATCAATATCATTTCACTATACATGTATATCAAATTAAGTATGTTTTTAAGATGCAATTTTAATTAATTAACTAGAAAGGTAACATTTGCAAAGCAAATGCATAATGTTTACCTTCGCATATGGTCTGCTCTGTTAATTCTTACTCAAACACTTTCATATATACTGTCAGACAGGAGTCTAAATCCCTCCTGCTATAAAATTGCAACATGATGTGGACCAACACTAGTTACCATGGTGACAGACGTCTGGTTCAGGTCATTGACCTTATTGGTTTGGAGAAGAAGAAGAGGAAACAGAAAAAAAATGTTTTCCTTCAGTTAACATAATTAAAACAGGGAATATTCAGGTTGTCTTGTTGGCTGTACCAGGGAAAACATCAGAGTATGACTATGACTAGTATGAGACAGTAATTTGATGCCTTCAGAGTTCTATACCATACCTTTCTACTGTAGACACAGGCAGACCCTTGGATGAGGAGAGCGGCTTCCACAAAGTTCATAGTGGACAGGCCTCCATCAAAGGAGAAGGGAATGGTGTTCAGCTGTAAACATGGTGGAAAAGATCAGTTCATATCATCATCATCGTCATCATTTTTGAATTTCCTACTGCACAAGTCATGTTGTATGTATGTATGTAATTTGGTTTTAGTAGTAGTCATCATGACATGAGAGAAAATATTACCCTAGGACTAGTATCGGGCCGTTAGCAAATTGCCTTCGGCAGCAAAGAGCCCTTCGCCCGCCTATCTAAATTACCGCTATTTGGGAGTTCAGCAAAGGGAGTCAAGGGACAGCCCTGGACCTCTTGTTTCTGAGCCGAAATTCTGCTCTGCCCTTACAAAATACGATACCACAGTTGTGATACTAGTAGTTAGGTTGACTCTCCATTTTTTTTCCTTTGAAGTGTCACTTCCAAACTGACCTCTTCCAAGTAGTTTTCCAGCTCAGACGCCAGGTTGACATCCCAGTTCTTGGTCAGGTCTTTGATCGGCTGGAGAAGGTGGGCGAACCGTTTGTCCACCGCGTTTTGCTCCTGTGACAGCGTCATGGCTGGGACTGAAAAAAACGTAAGTAAGTTACAGACTGTTTTGACACTTGGGAAGAGAGTGGGAGGGGGGCGTTCGCGCTCGATTGCTATTTTTTCGACGATCACATACCAGCAAAACAAGCACAAAACGGAGACCGCAAAGATAGAAGCCCTCAAAATTTACCTGTCGTCGATTCGTCTCCCCGAGATCGTCTTTATATGGTCTAAAACTAGGGAGAAATGTCAGCCGCACTCGGAAAATCTCCACCACAACAAATAACGAACTCAGACAGCTTTTCACAACTCCCGCGCTCTGAACAGGTCCCGGATGTTGCAACTGTCTCACACCGCAGTTTGGCGCCGGGGCATGGTTGCGAAATCAGCCTTTGAGTAATCTCCAAGCAGATGTTTAGGTGGCCGCAAAAGACAGTCCATCGGCCAGACTGTATCCATTTGCCACCCATTAGATTAATGTTTGAGGATATTACTACTAATTATTGCAAAAATATATCTGTTTCTTTCCTCATGATAATGAATTAACCGCCCCTGCGCCTAAGGGACTATAATGAATATTTTTCGGACAGACAGATTGTTTTAAAAAGTTTTTCATTGTAAAAATAACAAAAGTGGCTTGCCAGACTGGTTTTTTTTTTGTCATCTGAGGTTGATGTTTCAAAGACGAGGACTCAATGTTTTTGCACACATTTAGAGTTATCATTGCACACCTGTTCTGGTTCATGCCTACCCAACAGGTTGCCAACTACAACTACAAGTGTAGCTTGTTATATATAATTGAATACAGGGAAGGGGAGATGAGAATGATTTGTATACAAAATATGAAGAGAGTAAATAAAATCTAAGAAAGTAAAATCGTCTTGAATAGAGCTGTGTACCGGTACGCAGTACCGATACTGTACCGGTAAAATTGATTAGGTACAGGTCCAAAATACCTAATCCCTCAGTACCGGTACTGTACTTAAACAATTTCACACCAATTTTATGCCTATTTGTGACCTCAAATGTGTAAATAGCTGGTTAACAATGGGTCCCTGTGTAAGGACAGTGTGTTCATGAAAACAAAAACATATATATAGCCTATATTTTATCTGAGCATTCGCCATAAACAAAGAATAAACCTTAACTATCAAGTTTATTTATGTTTTTTTTTTGTTATTGAAGGAGTTCAGAAGAGCATATAAATTGGTCGAATTGTTCAGGTACAGGTTCAGGTCCGGACCTGTACCTAAACCTGTGTACCTGTACCTGTACCTAAAATTTGTTTAGGTACACAGCTCTAGTCTTGAACATATTTGAATGTTTTAAAAGTCAAACGCTTTCTTTAATGAGCAAAAAGAAAACGCATAATGATATAGAAACAGGTGGCCAGGACCAGAGGGAAGGGATTTTGTGATATTTTTTTCCAAAATGATATCCTGGCTGTCATTGTGAAATCCTAAGCAATGGACCAATTGACCAAATTTGGGGATAGTTTGATTCACATCAAAGAATTTTCAACTTTATAATATGATAGGTGGACCCCTAATAAAGCATAAATAATATTTTCACCATTATCACATTTGAGCCATGAAAATTCATATGATTTAGCTGTATTATACTAGTATAGTACTTAAAATTTAATGGAAGTTGGTATTACTAACTTTGAAATTTGTTTTGGTTCAATTTTGAGACAATTTAAACCTTCGACACCCCTGTTCAGAAATTTGCGTTAGTTCCATCCCGTTGGAAAGTGGTGGGAGCTGTACCCATGATGCAGTGCGTTGCCGCCATTAGTCCCAGGCCGGCGCGAAGTGAGGAAGGTACGTGCGTGCGTGCGTCTGTGTCCGTGTGCCCCAAACCCTTACCTTAACAACCTCCAACTAACGTGTCAAGTTTACGTACCACCTGTAGAGTGTAACATAGTCTAGAAGCCGTAGTAAGTTATTGGGAAGTGTAGGTAAACGTGATTTGAGTGTGGTTGCCACTTGAAAATGTTGGGGAGGGGGGCGAGGGTGCGGTGGACAGATGAATGCATGTTGCATGACGCCATGTAAGACTGGACACCACGTGTTGCCCTGTCCAGGAAGGCCTCAGGACTGACCAACGGTGTAGATAACACGACTTATACCGTAACTTTGCTGAAGGAAATACTGTGAGGTGCTTCGGTCTAACCAAAAGTGTTCAACCATGCCCATGTGATTTTGTGACGAAATTTATATCGTGTTGCTACATACATGTGAAGCATATTTCCAGATAGTTCTATACAGACATAGCCCATACCATTTATCAAGCAAAAAAAGTTTCAAGTGAACCACACTGTGATCAGTCTTAGTGATGATTTGAGTTTGATGAAGACAAACGATACTGAAACTAGCATTACGTGTATACGTGTAGGAGTAACATGCCAAATATTGAATATTTAGTGATTCTAACGTTACATTCAGATGATTCTTACAGTTGAAATTTGAATTCTGATAGTGATAGAGCAGATTGGTGCTTCCTGGTGATAAATACCGCAAAAGTGCATAGTACTCAAACAGCTTGAGTCTTTAATTTATTTGGGCGTTTCTTTTTGTTCTGGTATGTACCGGTAATTGTTACATAATTTTACATGCCGGTCATTTTATAATTATTCATATGAAAGCTTGTCCATTTAGATCATTTATGTTAAGTAAACTTAAAGTGTAACTTGCTGTTCACATAACGCACCAACCAACATGCCTGCAAACAATTCTCCGTTATAACAGACTTGTCAAACAACTTGAACTTAGAAATGGTACTTGTAACTACAGTTGTACTTGTAGAAGCTTCTGTACTTACAAGTACCATTTCTGTCTCTCATTCATCAAATCATTGCTACCGTCCATTTAAATTTAGAGTGGGGAGCTAAAAGACCTCACCATCTATCTAATACCTTCCTATTTGATATGACTGGATTGGGAAAAATGCACACCTGTTGCAGAAGTTTGAGATTCCAAATATGTAGATGTCTGTGTCTGTGTTCTTTAAAGCACCCATACTGCAAACCCATATAATGTAAATATCATAATGTAAATGCTCATCTAGTTTTAAAAAAATTTTGTTCATATTTAGATTATGGAATTTGATAGATATTACTGGATGGATCCAGTTTTGACGAGTAAGAATGACTGTAAAGATAGTAGCAATCAAGTTTTACTGCAATGTTATGGGCTGATTTGAAGAGTATTTTATAGTCAGTCTATGTTACAAGTAGAGGTTAAGAGCAGTATGAAATGGTTCACTTAGCTGATAGTCATCAGAGGTACTCAAATGATGTAGCGAGTGAGGAGGTTGGTGTATTTTTAGATACCCTTGGGTGTCTGACCGATCTTTGCATGCCGGCCTAGTAAGAAAGTCGGCCCTCCGGCTATGTTATCACCATTCACTGGAAATGTTCATCTGCTCAAAGGCCAAAATGCCCCTATCTCATTTCAATTGAATGATTTGACCCAAGTGCAGCATTAGAATCCTGAAACACAGTTTCATTCATACATATAGATTATGGAAGCGACTTATAGATGTGACAGTTATCTTTCAAGTAAGATAATGCAAGCTGATTTTACGGCATCAGTATTTTAAACCTACTTTTTACAATTTAGGCATTTTATATTGTTACATTGTTTTTGAAACTGTATAGAAAGCAATGATATGCAAAATCTTTTACATTTCATTCCATATGTTATAACTTATGATGTAAGTTAAAACATTATTTTTCACGTTGTACAAATGTAGAATTCCATGGCAGGACTGGAAATAAATACACCTGCTTATGCAAGTTAGTGCAGGTAATACCGGTATTGGAGCTGTGAAGGCATTGTACTGGGCTGATACAGACTACAAATATATGTGGATGTTATTTGCTTAATTGACTAGTACCACCAACAAAGTATAAAACAAATAATGGCAATGTTTTCCGAACAGTTTTTTGCATGATTGGTACATATACTTCCTAAATTATGAGTGGTGCCGGTCATTTTCAAATCTACCTGCACCCGAGTACAGGAATGCAGAAAAATGTATTTCGAACCCTGCATAGTCCTCGGGTCTCTTTTTTACTCAAAACTCATTAAAAAAGATGCACCCAAAATGATGTCAGGTCAAAAGAACACTGAGAGTGCTGAGATGGAGTTAGACCATTATATTAGTACTGACTACTGAAGTCGATTACTGGGAGAGTGCGGCGAATACAAACCAACCAGGACTCAAAAATACCACCTGTGCAGATTAGTAAGTGCAGGTAAAATTGGAGCTGTGCAGGTATATTTCTGATGTCTACCTGCACCAGCCCATGTTTTGATATCTTGGATTTTTCTTTTCTACACCAATTAGTTACCTGTACCGGAGTAAAGAGTGAAATGGTTTTTAAATGGTTACCAGCTAGGTCCAAACTTACTTTTCTGGCTGGGCGATGGAAGTATTCTTACATGTTATAACCTGTACCAGGTGTGCAGAAACAAAGTATTTCCAGTCCTGTCAGTATTCATCTGTTATGGATGACCTGTGCTGATGGCACCATCAGACTCCTGACAGTACTTTATCAAAGCCAAATGAGTGTTGCCATGGTGATATCATTACCAGATCCAATTAGGACAAACTCTTCTTGTACCCACTCCATAAGGGGTTTTCAATGACTTTCAACTGTGCAGTTTGCAATTTTCCCTAAGGTACTATTACTATTTTCCAGTTCTTGACTACTACATGTATGTTGCAATATGAGCTGTTTTCCCCTGGCCTTTGTTGGAGACAGCATAATATTGGTTGCTCAAAAGTCAAATCCTTTTAAGCCACTACATGTACTCTATGCTTGTTGAGTGTAGCAATTTTGTTCTAAAAGTACTTGGTCACTCAATAATTTTATTCAGCTGTTTTTCAGGTAGTTATACATTTTTTTACTACTCTGCCAGGATCAGTTTTTCTTTAAAATTGTACCTAATAACACTATGACTACTTTAAGTTTTATTTTAGTGTAGAGCAGAAGGACAGTTGTCATACTGTATACATCATGTACATGAAAATCATGCTTTTTTTGCTTCACTTTCATATTTGCGGTTTTCGTGGTTACTTCTGTACCCCAAACATATCATTACTGTGAACAGATAATTCGCCGATTTTCTTTTTGCTACACCTGCCACCATTTTTCTCAGACCACGAACTTTTGGTGCAAACGTAAAGCAATTTACATATGTATATATATCTTCAACTTGACATAATATACTTGCAGATTTGCTAGTAATACTTTCAAATCCTTATCTCTGTGAGGTTGAAACACTTCCAGGCAGAAAGGATCTACATGTAGCAGGGTAGACGTGTCTTGCATGAAGATTCCCTGGGGTGATTCTGTTGTAGATCTAACTTGAATGTTTTTGAATGTGGCATATGATTGTGTGCCATTACTGGCTGTCTGTCCCAGGTGCCAGTACTGTAGGCTGTTGACCCAAAAGGACCCTACATAGAAGGGGGCCACTCTACTTAACGTCTGATGAACTATTCATACCTCTCTCAGGGATGATCTTTCAGAGGAGAAAACTTCTGGCAACCTTCCATAAACCTATTGAGCCATACTTCTTTTTTTTTTGACTGCCAGAAGTCAGTGTCTGTTCTGTTAAACATGATGACATATATTTTTTATATAATTTTTCTGCATTTAGAAATTTGCTAGCTTTGCAGTACATAATGTACGTTTACTAAATGATACTATTTGAGTCAGTAATTTTTTAAATTACATCTTGGATCATCATCAACAATCAGTATGTTTGAATGACTTTTTAAAAATTTTTTTGTCTAATAAATTCTATGTGCACTAAGTGTTTCCGCTATTTACATGTATACATGTCTGTATGTGGCCTGCAGTGTTATGTATGTTATTACTGTCTGGTAAGTGTTAGAGAAAGCACCTCGTTATGTCTCGTAGTGTCAGTACACATGCATGAAAGCTGAAAAAATGTCTTGTTAAGTCCTTGCGAGGTATAAACACAAAGCTTGAAATTGACTCCATGTTTCTCTTCCTGGAAGGCATCTTAACCCCGGCATATCCTTAGCCACCTGCAAAAGATCAAAGTCCAAGATTACATTCACTGGCTTACTTCAACTTGGGGCTCATGACCCTTGTCATGCCATGCAATCTTCAACCAATTTTTCAAATGGAGTTGTTGCATATTTAGAAAACAGCTGTTGGAAAGATTTTCCTGGCCAACGAGTTTATTATACAATCTCAATCCAGGGCTTGAAATCCTCTTTTCTGCATGCCTGTACTGGTAGAGGTAACAGTACACACTGAAAATTTCCAGCACCAGACAAATTTTACAAATGTACCTGCACCACTCAGAATTTAGGAAGTATGGATCATACTGTATTACTAAGAACTGTTCAGAAATCACTGCCATTATTTTTTTTTTATTTGCCCTGTATAATGTATAAACCCAGATAGGACTAGTACAGTGAATCAGTACCAGTGCAGGTGAGGTGCAGTTAGACATCAGAAATACCCACACAGCTCCAATTTTACCTGCACTAACCTGCTTATACAGGTGGTATTTCGAGTCCTGCACCCTTCCCTGTACTGGGAAATATCCTTCAGACAAATACATGAACTTATTGTATCAATTCTATGTACCGACATTTCCTAGGAATATAACCCCATGTAGCTAACACAATTCACAAATTAAGTTATGAAACCTTTGTGGTTTCACTAACCTCATTATCTTGTCAGCCTCCATGTCTTTGTGCTTCTATTCGGTTGATCTTGAAAACCCGACTCACTGTGGTATTACACATTCTTGGCTGACAGGTTGTTAGAATTAGAATTCTGCTACCACTGTACAAGGGCTTGAAGTATGTTTTCTGGCTACATAGACTGGTGCTTGTAACATTGATAATCACCTGCAACAGACAAGCTTTACGTGTACTACTCAGAATGTAGGAAGTACTGATCATCATAGTATAAACTGTTCAGAAACCATTGCCATCATTTTTATACTTAAATAGGTGGTAACAGTCAATATAAAAAAAACCACATACACCTAAATGTATATTTAAACTCAGTACATGTCTCAGTGCATGTTAGGTGCAGGTAGACATCAGAACGACCTGCACAGCCCCAATTTACCTGCACTAAGGTACATGAAATTATGCATCCAGTACTAGTATTTCTTGCCCTGGTATTCTGTTTGTATATAATGCTTTGATGTCCACAGATTATTTGAAGACAGTAGAGTGACAGGAAATGAGGGGGAAATGATATAACCACAGATGAGAGTGAAAGGAAATAGAGTTCAGAAGTGGTAGAATTAATACTACAATGTATTTGTCAATGGGGGGGGGGGTCATGGGGTGAATGGAAGAGGCTACTAATTCACATAGGGGTGTTTGTGATCTCTTTGTATGAGAAAATCTGATAGATTCTACATACCAGGTATTTCATGGAGTAATGAGATCCTTGAACTCTTGTATCACTTGTATTTCGTTTCAATGACGAACAGACCAGCAAGGTGTGTGTATTGATATTGTATATGTATTCACATGTGCGCACATACAATGTAAGATCTACCTTTTTAATGATATCCTGTCCTCTTCTTTGCCAGGTGCTCTGGTTGACAATCCAAGAGAAACATGGCAGACCAAGACAAGTAAGTACCACCATGACGCACCATTCTGTGCCCTCCATTCTGAGGTGTTCCTGATGATATGTCCTGATCCGTGTAGAGTTTCATCAGGTCGGCAGGTCATAGGGTATTATCATCGATGGTACTTTGTACACAACCAATACCAATTATCTGCCAGCGTTTCAGTTAAGTCAGTCAGTCGGAAGGTACTGCTGTTCACTTGATCTTCACGGTATCATTTAAATTTCACGTCCTGAGGAAAATGGACATGTTCACAGTGGCAGCAAGAGCAGGGAGGGGGGTAGAAGACAATAATTATTGATAAAAGTAATGACAAGTTCTTGGTACAAAAGTGACCATGAAACCCTTGAACATAAAACTACAGTGAAAAAAATCAGGAATTACAGTAATTTGTATTGGTTGTGTACAAAGAACCTTTTGGTATCCAATGTCTTATGATATCAAAGAAGCGCTATTCTGTTCTTAAGTCGTAGTTGACAAAACAGTGTTGCTCATGATAAAACATGGATGTATAGCAAGATACAAGTATAGGGTATACATATAGAACAGGCCTTGGGAGAACACGATCTTTCCCTGTATGTGCCACAGCTGTACATCACTACCAGTTCTCTGATTTGGCTGGCCCTTGCATAGTGATTGTCATTGCCTTGCCCTTGGAATAAGCATGTAGCTGGGAATAGACTTTCTGCCCAGGCCCAAATGAACCATTACGCACAAATGTTCACCAGGGCAGGTTCAGAAAACGTTACAGGGCAGGGAAACCTGTCATTCTCGGAGATACAAATTTGGATGGGTGCTGACCATAGAAGGATTTGAGGCACCCAAAAGGGAAATTTGGATAATGGATCCATTAGGAGATCAAAGTTATCTTTCCTCCAGACTTTCGGCACATTCATTTCCTTTTGGTATCACAAATGAACCTTAATATCATCTGAGCTTGAACGTATCTGTTCATCAAATGGTATTTTCTGGGAGCTTGACTCACAGACAGATTTATCCGAATACCGGTAGTATAGACCTTACAAAAATAAGGTTTTAGAGGTCGTCTTTTAGAAGCACACTGGCAAAGTGGACTGTGCCTGTGCAAAACTGGATTTCTCACAATTTTCATTGCATGTTTGGTCAAGGTTGCATCAGAATTTTGCCCATTACTAGCGATATCTTTTCTGGCACAAAATTTGAAAGTCTGTAGACAAAATGTCATCCTTGAATACGTGAATACGACCTTAAAAGAGAGATTTTGTAGAAATGCTATGCACAGTATATTATGGCATGTAGGGACAGTACATTTTGCCAACCTGCCTCTTTTAACTACAAAGTACATGTACATTTTTTCTGCTGGTCTTTGTAAAGTTTGCACTGTGTTCCTTCAAAAAGGAAGGATTACAAAGAAGACTAGTACATGTACTGCATAATTAACCATTTGAAAATTACCTTAATTTGGTTTATCCATAGTGAATTGACCAGCTGTGATGTTTGTTTGTATGTTTGTTGTTTATCTGTAGTAAAGTGACGAGTTCCCAGCCGCCCCCAGCGGAGGGAGATGACGGTGACGTTGAGGAGGTGGCTCTGGAAAGCGAGGACCCATCCGCCGCCGCGGCCGCCATGATAGCGCAGTCTGGCATCACCATAGGTCCGCAACATTCCAATTACTTTTTATCCTGTTGGCATCCATGCTAAAAGATTAATTTTTGTGTGGTTATTATGCAGTATTTCAAAATGATAATTGATGGCACAGTAAACTAAAACTGACCGAAGATGCAAAATTTTAAGATATGGCTCGAAATACTTTACAAATTTTACCTGCATCATTCAGGACTTAGGAAGTATGGATCATACTAAAAATCTTAAGAAGCCATTGTCATTATTTCTTTTAAACATCATAGACTATCATCGATAACACTAGTCAATACAGCAGCTAATTAAAATGCCCATATACTTACATTTGTATGTAATTATATAAACCTAGCTAGTACATGCACCGGTACAGGTAGACATAAGAAATACCTGCACAGCTCCAATTTTACTTGCGCTGACCTGCATGTACAGGTGGTATTTTGAGCCCTATAATATTTTTTAATCATTGAAAAATTAACCAAACCTGAAAAAAAATAAAACTGGCAATAATCTACAATCTGTGACAAGGGTTGGTCACAATCCAGTTGTCCTAACCAAATTAAAGTTGATTGAGTTTTGGATATTTATGATTATTTTGTTGTCTGTCCAGGTGACATCTCGCTGACATCACAGGCTCTGCAGAACCCACAGGTACTGGCCGCTCTACAGGACAGGTTAGGCAACATCATGGGACAGTCCTCCGGATACGTAGAAAAGTACGTACATCTTCACAGCAGATTAACCCTTGTCCTGATGGCATTTTTTAGACAGTATTTTTCAATGATTTATCTACAATACTGTATGTGTTAGAGACAGGGCAATGCATATTCCCATCAATTTATTGTAATCAGGTAGCTGTCCCATTATCATTCACTTTTCTGTGCCTGGAAGATGGCTGGATTCTCTTAAAATCTCTGGAAATAAAATTGTCTCATGTGTACGGAAATGGGGCAGGTTTTAAGGTGCCTGTTTCTGTGTTGGCATGATGAATGTTTCAATATAGACTGACTGGGTTGTGGAAATGTCACATAGAGGAGAAAAGCTGTACAAACGATGGAAGGGGGAAACGTAGTACTAGTACTGTTTTACACCCCACTGTTACCCTGTACACAGGGAGGGGTGATCTCCACTTACAAGTGTGGTTACAACATGATGGCCTAGCTATAGAAAACGAAAGAGGTCCTTGCCAAATTCTACTGCCTGTAGCGTACATATGGCTACTACGTGTGTATTATTATGGCTGGTTGTTTGGCTACTTTGCATGGCATTTCCCCAGTTTTGCTGTGAATAAAAAAAACACATAGCTTGGTGACCCTTAGTTTTGAGTTGAAGTTTCCAATCATGAGGATGCACTGTATGGTAGTCATTTTATACCCCCTCTTTCTGTTCAAATCATTTTCCCCTGTGTATAACTTCAACCATAAGAATTTTACTGTAGCTGATTAGGACAATATTGAAAAATTCCTGACCACCCCCATCAACTATTAAATGGACTAACCCTAAGCCGTTCCTGTTTGCGTGCAGCCTCCCCAAGGTGGTGAAGCGGCGAATCAAGGCGCTGAAGAACCTGCAGGTCCAGTGCACCAAGATCGAGGCTAAGTTTTATGAAGAAGTCCACCAGTTGGAGTGCAAGTATGCCAAGCAGTACCAACCTCTGTTTGAAAGGGTAAGTTCTGTCATGGTAGACAAGGACTCAAAAAGGATTTTGTATGGTTCAGTTTGTTTCCTTGTTTCACATAGTTTGCTCTTTTCGATTAGTGTGGTTGGATCTTTAATATGCTTGAGGTGTGGCTCTCCTCATACATGGGACCTCTGGCTTTACGTCCCATCCGGGGCTAGCTGAAGTTACAAAATGTAGGTGCTTTACCTAAGTCAAGGGAAGAAATAGGTGTATTTAATGTGCTTTTCCCAGGAGTACAACATTGGGCCTGTTTGGGATTCGAACCCAAAACCTTAAGAATCTGGCAACTCTAGACTGCCTTGTCACCTATTCCAGTGTTCCACCATGGAATTATATAGCAGAGGTGCACTTATTCTCAAGTAAGAGTTACAAACAAGAATATTGCAGTTAAAGTTAAGAATGATTGAAAAAAAAAAGGTACTAATTGTGAGATACTGACTGCAGTTTTCTCCCTGTTCCAGAGAAGGGACATAGTGACAGGCACAGTGGAGCCCACTGACTCAGACTGTGAGTGGGAGAGTGATGAGGAAGAGGAGGAAGATGCAGAGGGAAAGACAGATGAGGAGAAGCTAGTGGTAAGTCAGGACTGCATTTGTACATCTAGAGATGGTTTGGGGATATTCCTACTTGTGGTAAGAAAAATTACTACATCATACATGTAGCTGTCCAAGAATACTACTCAGGGGCTGATAAAATTTGGGTTATATGGACATGATCCTTAATGCTTGTGTTAATGGGAAAATGCATCCAAGGGACCACCAAAAAAGTGTTCACTGGTGGTCTTTATGTAGAGATGTCTTGTACAGGTTTGAATGTATTTTGTACTTAAAGCAGTTCAACTCTAATCTATTTTAGGTGGGCTAGATAACTTTCATTATCCCTCATCTTCAGTGATTCCCTCTTTGTTAACATTCTGTGTTTAAAGTTTCTTCTGGTGTGATTTTGGCAGGATGACTTGAAGGAGAAGGCAAAACTGTCAGAGGGGGAGAAGGAAGAAGAGACCATGGATGGTAAGGGCCTTCCCGAGTATGCTCCATGGAGATGGGAAGTAATTTGATGTGTCTGTGGAGTTGACATACACATTTCCAAGGCAACATAGAATTAGGTTATGATTTCAGAAGAATCAAAGTTACTGTCTTATGAGCAACATTTGTTCTGTGTCAAGAGTGAAGACAATCTTTTTACTGAAGGTGTGTATACTTGAGAGAACTTGACAGTGAGTGAGTGTGAGTGAGTTAGACATCAAGCAACAGGATAGATTTTGAAAACTGTCAGATGTTTTAAGTACATGTAGCATTCACTACTTTTGAGAATGTATAGAGAATTGTTTGTTTCAACGTGTATGTCATTTGCTCAATTCACTTCATTTTCATTTTTCCTTACAGAAAATGTGGAAGGCATCCCAGAATTTTGGTTGACAGTCTTCAAAAACTGTGAACTCATCAACGACATGGTACAGGTATGTGGAGTTTGCAACCTCGCCATCTTTACAACCCAATTTTCACAGAGATCCATGGATAATTCTCGAGATAGCGTTCTATATCACGTTTTGTAATAGGCCAAAAAACAGTTACTCAAGCTACTAGAAATGATTTTGGAAACAGTCAGGTTTCAGGTAGCAGTGACACAGGATGAAAGGTAGTGGATGCTACCTGAAAGGTCTGACCATTTCCAAAATCATATCCAGTTGCTTGAGTAACTGTTTTTTGGTGTATCTTATTACCTGGATGTCTAACCTTCACTGACATATGTAATGTGTAATTTTTCATATCCTCCTCAGAGATTGAGAGTTGCATGCTTTTTTTCCACAGGAGCACGATGAAAATATCCTGAAGCACCTGACAGATGTGACGGTGGATTTCACAGAGCAGCCCATGGTAAGAGTAAGCACGTCTGCAACAGGCAAAATTCTGATGCAACATTTACCAAACATCCAACAAAAAACGTGAAAAAATGCCAAATGTGTTTCCTTTGGAATTCGAGTATATTAGACTGGTTCAAGCTATTTATTGGTGGTACAAAGAAATAAAGGAACTACTCACGTAGCTTGCTTTTGGGCTATTTCAAACACTTCACAAATTTATAACATAAATGTGCTAAGAAATGGCAGTAAATGTCAACATCAGACAGATTTCCTCATCCAGAATGTTTTTTTTGGTCACACTGAAGTTGTGTTGCTTGCCTTCAGCACAGTTTTCTGCCATGTTTCCTGCAGGGTTTCACTCTGCTCTTCCACTTCGAGGCAAACGACTACTTCTCCAACACGGCGCTCACCAAGCACTACGTGGTGCGGTCTGAACCTGACGACCAGGACCCCTTCGCATTCGAAGGACCTGAAATCATCAGCTGCAAAGGGTAAAACTAACGACATAGTTTAGAACATTTTTATGTTTACCAAAGGAAAACATTTTCTTTGCTCTGTTTCTTCTTCCGTTCCAAACACTGACCTGGTCAATGACCTGAACCAGACCGTCTGTCACCATGCCTGATGGTAACTGGTGTTGGGTATAATGTTTCAATTTTAAAGTACGGGGGATTTAGACTCCTGTCACTGTATATGTGAATGTGTTTGAGTAAGAATGAACTGCAACAGAGCAGACCATATACGAAGGTAAACATTATGTTTTGCAAATGTTACCTTCTAGTTATTTGTTTGTTCTGGACAACTGGTAAACTTCCTTGAGGCAAAGTACAACAGTTTGTAGACCAGATTGTAAGATTTTATCCACTCTTGGATGGACTCCTACTCTTTTTAATAAGTGTGGTGCGTTCTTCAATGTGTTCATGGTGTGGCTTGTCTCAAACATCTTAAAACAACACATCAAAAGAATGATGCTGTGAACTACGCATTCTTTAAGATTCAAAATGTTCTTGCAGTATCTTTGTAACATCTTTAAGACAGCAGATTTACTTGACTTAATTCCCAGGTGTCACATTGACTGGAAGAAGGGGAAGAACGTGACAGTCAAGGTCGTGAAGAAGAAACAGAAGCACAAAGGTCGCGGCACGACACGTATGGTCACCAAGACGATCCAGAATGACTCCTTCTTCAACTTCTTCAACCCTCCACAAGGTTAGGGCTCTCTCAGGGTTTGTCGTTTATTTTGAGAGTGTTTGATTGACAATGAATTACATTTGATTACATTTTATGTCAGGGATTGCTGTAGTTTAGTCTTCTACAATGACCAATAACATTCTGTTCTTTTTTACTACAGTTCCTGATGATGGTTCTGAACTGGTAAGTACATCCTTAACTTAAACTCTGATAACTTTGATTAAACTACATGTAAATTATTTTGAGAAATCTGTGATATTAATGTTGAGTCTGAATAGTCTTTAAAAGTGTAGACTATGATTCAGTAGACTGTAACCCTCTCCTGCTGCTTGACCCATAACCTGTACAATGTATGTGCCCCACGGCCAAGGCTACCTTAGCAGGCTAAAGGTTAAAGTATTGTCACAAATGACTTTTGTATCCCAAAAGGACGATGATGCAGAAACCATCCTAGCGGCAGACTTTGAGATCGGTCACTTCTTCCGTGAGCGGATTGTTCCCAAGGCCGTGCTGTACTTCACAGGAGAGGCAATGGAGGATGAGGAGGTGAGCTGGTTTGGTTCTGTCATTTCACAGAATTATCAAAACAAACATAGAGAAATTTTTTGGGTTAGATCATGCATAAATCAGAGGCAATTTACAATGTGTGTGAGGTTGTGTGGCATAACGGCAGAGCATTCAGCTCAGAATGCGGGTTCGAGTCCTGCCAAGTCACCAACCATGTGCCCTTGGGAAAGGCACTTTACACGACTTTCCTCACTTCGCTCAGGTGAAAATGAGTATGACAGAATGATCATTATCATGATTGTGGGCATTAAAAAAAACACTTTCAGGGGCCTGTATTGTGGAACAAACTCTCTACTGAGCAAAGGCAACTTAACACCACAACAGCTTTTCAAAATGGGCTGAAATAGTATTTTGTATTCAGGTCTAAATGTTTTCAACATAAGTTCTACATTACAATGTATTTGCTTAATGTCAATGTAATTTGTTTATTTTATTTCTTGTATCACGGTGGTCAAATCTGGGCTGCAAAGTTCCCACATTTCATAGAATCCGAACTGTGTTCGATCGTGTTCGATCTGGGCAATTCGAATCGAACCCGCGTTCTATTTCGGGGTCACCTGCGGTCATTTACAATAAAGCAGCAAAGCAAGCCCTTCTGCCTGAGTGCCTCGCAATAGATAAAAAACAACACTTTTCTATAGATACAAACAGTTTCCTGGACAGTACATGTCCGCTATAATTTTTGGTGGGTATGTAACATGTAGCGAAGCTACTGTTGTATCCTTGGGTGACCTTGAATACTGTAATGATTCTTTACGCCAGAATGAATAACACAATGCACACTTTCTGGCGATATGACATGTCTCCAAAACTCGTTCAAACCTGGAAACATGGAGAGTCAAACATACCCCATTTACGGCTCAAAATGACTGTAACGGTTGTCCCAAAAATCGTGTTTTAGGGATTTTTTAAAAATGGCCTCAATTTTGAATTATGGGTAATTTAGTGAGAAAAATGTCAAAAAATGCCATTTTTTCACCAATATGTCGACAAAAACTAGTCTTAAAATCAGAAATTAAAAAATCCCTAAAACACGATTTTTTATCTTATTCCTAGTCTGCGATAAATATAAAAATCGGGGATCTGGGGTAATATACGTAGCCAGGTTTGAACGATGTTTGCCTGAAAACGTGACATGACTTGTGCTCGGAAACCCCAAAATAATCGTCTTTCTGAGCGAAATTTTAAAAAATCAGTGATTTAACATAAAAAGCTAACATTTAAAGGATGTTAAGACGATAATTTCATTTTAATTTGACGAAATTTACCCCTAAATATTATTTGTTTATTTTTAAATATCTTACGGGTAGTCCAAAACAGGCCAAAATAGCGTCTTGTAACCCGATACCTTTTCGAACGCACATAGCAATGGGAAAGAATGCCGTAGTGACAGACCACCGTGTATATGAAATTTTTATGTGCCCAGGAAAACCTGAAAAACAGGTCATGGACCTGAGTGATCTACTGACAAAATAAATGAAAACTAGAAAGGCCAATATTTGCTTTGGAGCAAATACAGGGGGGCCCCCAAGCCCTTTTCCGTAGAGCGTAATCGGCCGTTTTAATTCTACGTAGAGCGTAGACGGACCCTCTAATTCAACGTAGAGCGTAATTGGCGCATTTGGCGTAGAGCGTAATTCGCTGTTTTAATTCTACGTAATGCGTTGTAGCTATCGGGAATTAACCGTAAAGCGTAATCGATTAATTGTGCGTAGAGCGTAATCCAAGCCGCAAACGGGAACTCGAGGCCTCGCAAGTGCCGGGTTGTCGTGGCGCTCGAGGTCTTTCTTGCTCTACCCCCCGGCCCCCTCTATACAATCGAACAATCCACTAGACTTGTTCCCAGAGCCATACACAAGAACAAGGCAACACATGGGAATGATCCCACAGTGCGCTGGGTACGAGATTGACCTTACCATCGGTGACGTACAGGAGGACCATTGGCCAAACGCCACAGATACGCCACTTGTAAGGCCCAATAGGGGCCCTCAAGACGTTTCTTAGCGGGAACATCATTGCTGATCAATGGCCAGGGTAATGGAGGACACTCCCGAAAAGAGCAATGTCATCCCCGTCATTGTGCGGGTGATGGGTAACGCGGGACCGTCAGCAATCGGCAGCTGAGTCGCTTTGACAAATTACGCTGTATTGTTTGCGGCCTTTTCTACCTTCGGACGACAACCCCACAAGGCTCAAAGGTCCACTTTTTGGTCCACTTTTCATCTAAAGGTCCAAGACTTTTCTTTAAAAGACGGACTGATTCGTGTCACCAGCAAGGCTGGAATCCGTCGTAGGAAAACGGCTCACTTTGTCATTGAAAAAGTTATCTCTGATTTTTTCTTTGAAACCCTCTAAAGACGCAGGAAATGCCATTTCAGAGGGTTCATTTTTCAAAATTTCCCGGGGGAGCATGCCCCCGGACCCCCCTAGGAAACTCGCGCCTACGGCGCTCGTTGGTCCCCCCATTCAAAATCCTGGCTACGGCCATGTTACCTCCATTCACGGATCGCCCTCCGATCTTCGGGCGATCGACTCGCGGTCAAGTTGGTACCTGCGGTAATACTGAATACCCCGTTTTGTATTCTATACTTTCAATGTATAAGGAAGTGACCGCCGGTTACTACTTTTAATTCAAGTTATGTCACCTCTACATGTAATAAATCAAAAGGTTTTCACGAAAACATGCAGTTGCTAGGTGATTGAGTTCTGCATAGTGCGTTCGGAATCTTTCGAATTTAGCGTAGAGCGTAGAGAGGCATCCGGAATTCAGCGTAATACGTAGCCGGCTCTCAAAATTTAGCGTAGAGCGTTGTCGGGACCCCCCCTTGGGGGCCCCCATACAGCGATGGGTTCACCACATTTTACGACATGGCAGGGAAAGAATGAGAAACACAAGGGAAAACAATGATTTACATTGATATAACTATAATATGAAGTAACATACAACTAAAACAACAGTTGGATAGCTATTCCCTACTTTATTGGTTAGGATTTTTAATTGCATAATGGAAACTGTTGATTTTCAAAATAAAATAAAAAACGTTCATGCCCCGCATTCCAATGCTGGAGCAGAAAAGCTTGAAATACCTACCAAAACACTTGAATAAAGACATACTGTCAGTATGGAAATGCTCTGTGCAGGTGTTAATCAAGTTAAATCCCAACAGCCAATCAGCAAGAAATGCTCTGTGCAGGTGGAAATGCTCTGTGCAGGTGTTAATCAAGTTAAATCCCAACAGCCAATCAGCAAGAAGTATAGAGGAAAGCTGCATGCCTATTGGTTGATGCCCTGCATTCCATTGTGATGACTCATGCCCAGACGTGGTAAACACGGCACACTAACACAGTAATACATTTGCTATAACACAGCCAAAAAACTCAAATAAAACCATTCTAAAAGCCTGTATCACAAAAATTTAAAAAACGCCTAGGGGTATTTGCCCACTGTACCTCCATACCAAATTTCAGGACCTTAGGCCCTAAAATGAAGAAGCTGAATCCATTTAAAAAATGGCAGGAGAAGGAGGAGAAGGAGGAGAAGAAACATCAGAAAAAGCAATATGGGTTCACCACCACTTCGTGGTGTGGTGAACCCATAATGAAAGAGAACAGTTTGTTTTTTTCAGTATATGGCCTTAACAGTTCAAAGATACGTTTGACAGAAAAAATTACAAACTACATTATACATGTGTAGATTTGCAACATTTGACACACAGGTAAGATAGCCTGTGTATTTTGTTTGACTGTCCATTGTAGTGTGGACAAGTCTTTACCAGTTTATCATTTTGTTGTCTTTCATGACAGTATGAGGAAGAAGAGGGAGAGGAAGGGGAGGTGAGTTCACAAGTTACATCTTCTTACACTTATATATTGTAGAGTTTGCCATGTACATCTATATTGTTTGTCATTGTTGTTGTTGTTTGAAGCTATGATTTTAACATCACTTATTTTCAATGCAGTATTTCCCTCAGTATTCATTGCCTTTCATTCCCTTTCCTTTTAAAGAAATTATTATTGATTGATTGATTGATTGATTGATTGATTGACAGATTGATTAATTGATTGTTCCAGGGTGAGGAGGAGGGTGAGGAAGGTGAGGATGATGAGGATCATGACCCTGACTGGAAGCCCCCTGCAGGGGTAAGTCTCACGTTTCACCACCTCTCATCACCTCCACAGAAAGTCTGAGCCTTCCTGGCACCCTCGTGGGAGGGCTGGTCATCCTCCATGTTTTTGGCAATGCCACAGTGGCGGAGCCATTCTTTCATCCTAGATTCACCTATCAGATGATCAATAATCACATGACAAAAAAAACAAGATTCAGACAGGCCTTTGATTGGTTTAAGAAAAAAAGTTCATGTATACAGTGTTTCAGTGCATGGTGCAAGGGCATGATGAAAAAGAAAACCCTAAGAATAGAGTTTGTTTATTATAAACTGATCCCTACACAGGGGGGCAGAATATACTGCATGCCATCAATCATATGTAAAAAAAAGTCCAATCTATTTTGCCCATCTTTGCTACCCTAGAGACAACCTAACATTGCAAACATCAAACACCAGAAAGTCACTTGATGAAAGACAATTGCACTGCAGTACCATTTTATTCCATCAGGTGGCGTGCATGTGTTGTTGTTTCAATGATTTGAAAGAGAAGTTGAAGTGGTTGTCTCTGGGAACATCTCCATGTCTTGGTGCAAACCAGCATGTCCAGGACATTTTGTGTTGCTATTTTGGCTCCCTCCTGACTTAAACAAATCTCCCTGAACCAGCCTGAGTCCTGAAGCCCCGCTGGTTAGTCTGACAGCCCTCCTCACCCTGCTAGGTAGGCCCTCTTTCTTTCTCTCTCCTTCTTTTCTTTCTCAGGCTCAGTGTACACAGTGTCACATTTCTACATTGCTTCACAGGGATCTCCCCAGAAATTTAGGACAGAATGGAGGAGGGTGCGAAATATCGGTAAATTTGACCAAAGAACCCTGGAAAAGGGTGTAAAAACACTAGTTTTGAAAATTAACAGGGTGGAGCTGAGATAAGGACTGGGTGGAGGAGCTCCACTGCTCCATTGTTTAGGGAGGTCCCTGCTTCATGTATCCTACACAGTGCCTCTGCAGAATGTGTTCCATCTGCTCAAAACTGTAGTTTCTGTTGTTTGGTCTACATTGCATCAGAATTTTGTCTGTTTTGTCTTTTCCGACACAACATTTGAAAACTTAACTCGGGCTGGTGTCATCCATAAATATGCTGCGCTACCTTAAACGATACATTCTGTAGAAGTGCTATGGACAACACATTCCCGATTTCACACAGATGCTGTGTGTTCTGCCGATGTGCTTGCATACACTACATATTTTGAAATCCATGTATTTTTTTCAAAATAGAAAATGTCATATTTAATTTTCCAGGTTCCCTCATTAGCAGGTTTCTCATGGAGCTGTTGCAAACATGTTTTTTAAAGACAGACAAAAACTTTTGTTTACTCATTTTGTTTGTTTGTTTGTTTGTTTTTTCTAGGGTCCAGAGAAGCCGCAGGAGTGTAAGCAGCAGTAGTTGTAAGGACCTGAGTGACCAGTGGAAAAGACATGTCTGCCAGACTGCCACACCATTCCAACATTCAGCTCCCCACAACAGATGTCACAAACCTCCAGCAAGACAAAAGGGGAGGTTCTGTCAGTGGGCTGGGCTGACATTTACTTGGGATGTTTCATTAACTCCACAGAGGGGGTATGGGATTGTGTGGAGAGCCATTTTTGTATGACCTAGTGTTCCTGGCATCCTTAGCTATCAACCATTGTGCAAATGGACAGTCGCTGTTTTTTTGTTGCCTTGTTTCATGTAGTGCAGGATTTGGCTTCCGTTTTTTTTAAAGTGCAAAGTCCCCATCAAGCAGCTACAGTTAGGGTTTGCAGTACAGCTTCAAGTTGTGTGTTTACAGTTTGTGTCTCTGCCAGGAGTTTTGGAATGAAATCTGGTATCACCTCCAGCCATTTGTCCTGTGATCCGTGCCTTATTGTCCAGTCTTGTTTTTTTTTGTTTTTTTTCTGGTTTGGGGCTGATTGTACATTTGTAGGTCCTACTGTGATTTTATGCACCTATCAATGCAGTTCCAAGTTGGAGTATGTATGGGGAGTTTTTCAAAGCCAACAGGTCTTGTTTTGCTCTGCCAAGTTGTCAGAAACTTTGAGCTTGAAATATGTGTCTACATTAACCAAGAGTCTAACCCCTTATTGACCCTATGCATGCCTGGAACTCTACTGACTTCCAACACATATGCAAATTAACCTGCACTTCTATGGTTCACGTTGTAAAGCAAAAATGATATACACTGTCAGATATTTTTGTATAGGGGCAATATTTTGATGTCCTAACCCCACAGAGTACTCAACCTAACATGTGGAAATTGCATTGACAGGTGCACATTAAAAATGCTGTGTATTTCTAAATTGTATCATACCAGTATGTTCAATATTGATGATTGAAAAGTAGAAATACGTGTAGGTAGGCAAGTAGTCCGGTATGTATATAAATTTCCACTTCTCTGCAACTGTCCATCCTTTGGTCATCTAAATTTTCACGTGGTAACAAGTCCTGTTAACAACATTATTGCCAGTTATTTCTTCTGGACCCAGATTTATATGAAGTACTAGATATATTATCAATAACTTTGCAGTTTCCATCTGCTGCCCCCCTCCCCAATATGGCAACCCTCCTCTGAGGTGGCCATTACAGCACATAACAGTGCCTGTTACTTTGCATCTACAGCAAGGCCAAGAGCACATACTAGTCAGAAGCCCAATAAAATGTAACAAGTGTTGTTATGTATTCTGTGGCATTTGACCAAAGTATGTTTATCATTAACATAAAGTACAGGCTCCGATTTTTACTGTAGTGGTCACCTATTGTGATCATTGGATGAAGAGGAGAGTTGACATATTAATATAGCACACAGAAGTAGCCATTTAGCTACCAATTCTCTGTTGGTTACAGGGTTAGGCAGCAGGCAGTTGGAACAGTAGGAATATAAAAATTTGTATGAAATAGTCCATGTCTATACCCATAGATACAGAAATGTGTATACAAGATCAGAAATTATAGTGACGTTTTCAGAAGGACTCCAGATCTAAACGTGTTGCTGTAAAACCTTGTAAAGAAAACTATTCTATGATCAGATGTCTAGAGAAGAATACTCTTGTCCAGTGTTTTGTGATGAAGAGTTGGCATTTACGCTCCTTATTCACGGCAATAAGATGTGTTTTACTCTTTGTTGTTGACGTTTTTGCTCTACTGTGCTTCTCACTGGTAGGCACGCAGTTTTCCATGTACCCGATCAGTTATGTCACCCCCTGGTTCTCACTTTGAGCACAGTTCTTACAATTAAATCTGTAAAGCCTGGTTTAATCAGGTTTCAAATTAAGTCAATGAAATTCTAATGCCATATACAAATGAGAATATTTTGTTCAGAAAGTTTATGGATTTTTTGCCTAGTGTGTACAAAAAGTGCCTCTGGCCTTGAAGATAATGAAGGAAATGTTGAACTGCTCTTTTGATGTTTTAAGCGTTTACATATGACAAGTTTGACTATACTAAGTATTGTTGAATCGCTTTTTGTTAGAGGATACTTCATGTCAACTTTTGTCGGCTTTAGACTGAATAAACAGCTTAATGAAATAAAAGGCCTCATGTAGTGAGTGAATCATTGAATGAATGAATTTTTATTTACGTGTCTTGCGACTTTTGTCACCCAGCAGTTTTTGGGCTTATAAGACACCAGAACATGAACATGAACAGGAACATAGGTACAATAATCACAGAAACATAAATCCAAGTCCAAATCAAAGGTCAGACTGGAGACATCAAATGAAATTAAAGAGCTTAATACAACGTTGTACATACATAAAAGTCAACTCAAAAGTACATAAATTCAACTCAAAAGTACATAAAGTCAAATGAACTTGAACATGTGAGCGAGCCGAGAAACAAAATCTTATTGTAGCTATCGTTTTTATGGATAAATGTAGTTTTTACGTAGTGGGCGGTTGAATCCGAAACCTGTTCTAGTCCCAGTTTGCTCCGCCGATCACATCCAAGCAGAAGATGACTTCCCCAGCTTTGATTATTTTTTTAAACTGTCAAAGTTCAAAGGTCGGCTGGTGCAGAATAGGCTGTCTTGTGGACCAACTTCCAACCGCAAATGACCTTGCTCACGACTAACTCCCAACATGCTCCCAACCATGGTCTGGATAAGGTTGGGAGGTCATGTGTGACAGGAGCTATCGGTATGGGTATCGCCTAGTCTGCGTACCATCCGGATTTAAACGATTTTTTTTCGAGCGTTAAGGAGCCAATATCCATATGGTACCCAGTCTAGGTATCGCCCAGTTCGAATAGATGGAGAATAGGATTCTAACACCTGTTGGAATAGACCTGTCGGGGCGGTCGTTTTCGCGTATAAGGAAAATGCTAACAATAAAAGACGTTTTTGAAAAGTTGCACAGGGAAGTCGACATTTAGAAATACACCCCCACCCTCGAAGATCTAATAGAGTTGAGATCAGAGTAATCCCCTGAATGAATGAGGAGAATTTAGGTCAATGACTCCGGTGACAATGGACCAGTCGCCGCCCCCGCCAGTCATTGTGACGCAGTCGTAAAACTAAAGGTCAGCCTGTGTGGATTTATCCGCCATCTGCCGCATGTTTACGTCATGGAAGAACAACAGAGACATGCACCTTGGGAAAAAACCTACCGTACAAGCACAAAAACACGCGTATCAAATTTTACTCCCACAGAAATATGACGCACGGGAAAGAATTTTAGAACAACGTTATTGTGTTACTTGATTTCACAAAGATTAGAACATTAGGCCATGTTGATTTGATTATATGGATGACATTCCCCGGGAGCCCCAAAACTGATGCAAGCGTGCAAATAAAAAAAAGTTTTGCAAAAAGAAAAGTTTGCTTTCATGATGAAATCTATATTTTTTAATGACTAAACTCACAGAGTACTGTAATATTTATTGGCATGGTGATTAACAGTCTCTTCATTTTCATTCCTTCACATTTTCTTCCTGTCCTTTGGAATGTTTCAATATTTTTCCAATATTTTTTTTTCAATTTACGGCATATTATATATTTGTTCATTTTGCAGCTACTTTGTACGATTTACACTATGGCCGAAAACTTCTTTTTTGGAAACGGACGAAAATTCATTCGCGCGCGGATGTCATCCATATAATCAAATCAACATGGCTTTACATAAAAAAACTGGGCAGATTTTCCAAAGCCAAGTCAGTGTGGGTGGATGTGGGGACAAGTTTCACGCCGGCTCCCCCAAGGACACACCTTGACCATGACCTTGTAGTGTTGCTCGGCACTTGGCCAGTACGTAGGCAGCGAGTTGGCTTCCTCCGCAGAGATGTGCTGTATATCTGAGGAAAACACTGTATTTGTTTCAAAACAGCTGACGTCTGTTTTATTTTTGTTTTGGTGTAAAGAAAATGTGTAACCGCGAATAAGGGATATCCATACATAGTCATAGGTTCTGTGAAAATGCAAGTACGAAGTATGAAGAAATTTAAAATTGCTTGATTTTCTCCTCAAAACGCACACGAACTGCCAGGCGGGTGATCACTATAGGCAGGGATTTTTCGGAAAAGTTACCTTCTACCATACTAAACAGAGAGCTGAGTAACAAAAACGGATATGCGAAAGACTGACGTATTTCACAACAACTGTCTACGTAAGATATGCTGTATCTTCTGGCCTAATAAGATCTGAAATGAGGAACTCTATAACAAAACTGGTTGTAAAAGAATTTTTATAGAAATCACTAACAGAAGAATGAAATGGCTTGGCCATGTATTGAGAATGGATGACATAAGGATACCTGTAGCTAAAACAGCCTTAAACTGGAGATCTGATGGAAAAAGAAATAGAGGCTGATCATGACCTAAAACCAACTGAAGAAGAACTGTATCAGATGACCTGGCGTCCATCTATGGGACTGTCCTGGCGATCGAAGAAGGTGGCCGAGGACAGACCCAGATGGAAGAGAAAAGTCTCAGCCTTATGTCTCGCAAAGGATGAGGAGGATAAGTAAGTAAGTATACTTTTTTTAAACTTATCATTACACATGTATAACTGGTCAAATTTGCGCTACAATTATTGTATACGTCTTCCGATGCTGATGACGTCCACCACCGCATCGCCCTAAGACGCCTGCGCCCAGGCTATCTCCTCCAGACGCGGCGCCCCTAGCCGTCACGGTCGAGTCTGGATATCTCAAACATTTCAGTCCGAGAAAATAAACAGCGATGACATCGGCTCTAAACCATCCCTCCCACGGGGCGCCCGACCTCGCCGTTCAAAAGACTCTCGAAAGATCACTCCGCCAGGGGGCGTGGCTTTTGATAATCAGTCTAAATGTCAACATGTGATCTCTACCAAATGTATTGTGCGGGGGGCGACTGGCTAAAGACTCAACAAAGCTGGCAAGAACGTTTTGTATTTTTTATTTTGGGTACTTCTTTTGTTGGTGACATTTTTGGCCCTTGAAAACTGCCGCCATTAGTTGCTGTTATGTATACACATCGCCGAGTGGTAAACGGCGTCCTTTATTTGCAGAGGACTTCATCATGGTGTTTATAGGTTTTTTGTTCCTAAGGTTTCTTCTTCTTCTTCTTCGTTACTGCCCAGCACTACAGAGTAGTATTATTGGCAGTCGTTACGCAATATTGTTAGTAACAATTGTGCCCGGTACATAAAAAACAAAGGGAAAACAAGGATAACTGAGAAAGGAACATAAGACAACTGATTTTGTGTGTGCTAAAGACAGGACAAGTGCATTAGTGCGTTAGTAATATTTACATATATACAAGACATGATGGGGTGACTCAATGCAGCAGGGTCCTCGCCAGTTCAGATTTGAACTGGGCGAGAGACCCCGCCTCCACCGCACCAGGCTCAAGTTCGTTCCATTCCCTGATGGTACGGGGGAAGAACGAGAGCCTGTAGAAGTTGGTTCTGCTCGCGATGGCCTGCAATGTTTGAGTGTGATTGATGCGGCGGGAGCATCGAGCCACCGGGACAATCCTGGTTGAGTGTGGGACGGAGACAGCATTATGTATAATCTTATAAAACATGACCTGGCGGGCGATCTTCCGACGTACTTCCAGAGACTGCCAGCCCAGGTTTTGCAACATAGTTGAAACAGAGCTTGTACGTCTGTAGTCATTGCTGACAAAACGGGCAGCTCTACGCTGGACCATCTCCACCCTACTCACCTGGTCCTTGGTGTGGGGATCCCAGACACTACAGCCGTACTCTAAGGAGGGTTTTCTCAGGATATACCGTACTCTAAGGAGGGTTTTCTCAACATATACATATCAACTGTGTTTATGTTATGTGTTGTTGAAACTAGCCCTGCATTTTCCATATAACGTTGCCGTGACTTTGGAACAAAAATTACACTTCACTACGATGACGTCATTGTAGCTAACGTCATGGCCTTCAGTGAAACGGTTCTGATTGGATATCAGTCTAGTTCTCATGAGGACTAAAAGTTAGACAGACCTACATATTTAGACGTCTGACCAAAAACCTATGGGAAAGGGGAACCAAGTTTGAAATGCGATATTATGAATAGCGGTCTTTCCATCAGTCGTCAGGTTTATAAAACGGTGAACAGCAATGGCAGAATGAGAGGTGCACACATAGAGCGACCTTTGAATAGAACTATAAAGGAGGTTAGAGGTAGACCATGTAGAACATTTTTACACAACACAGAAAAGCCAGCTTTGTGGTATTTACCTACATGTACACAGGCTGGGCGACTTCCTTACGGTTTGTATAGTCGACGTAACTTAATGCTGTGACGTCCGTATAAAGGACAACCTTCGATGAGTAGAACATTCAGCCTACACAACACTATGACATCCCGCTTTGTTGCATCTACCTACGTAAAACACAGGCTGGTCGACATCCTTGTACAGTCGACGTGCTATCGTGCACGAATGATACACGGATAGAGGAACAGTCAAACATTGATGAATTTTCAATCTTTATTGTCACACTTTAAATTTGTCACGGAAGACTCCGAGCCACGTGAGTGGAAGAGACCACATGAGATAATCTCAGCACAGTGGAGCAGGCAGCCACTGGTTTGTCACAAATCTGGATAGCCAGATAAATATATCTGTATCTGTATAGCCGGTGTAACCACCGTAAGACGTAACACACCAGCTTCGCAGGCACGCGGCGCGGCGGCAGCTGGCGGACGACTTGTTACACCTAACCTTTGCACATAAGTATCGTTTAAAGCTATCTAGTGCTTGGTGGTAACAAGTTCCACACGATATTCAACAATTTGCAAATAAGAACTTGGACAATAAATGGTTTCTTCCTTCAGTGATAACAGAGCGTCGTACCTAGGTAGGCCATTACACCGAAACAGTGGGGAAAATTTGCGCTTGGACAGAAGTTCTACGTGGCAAATAAAGCAATACTAGTATATACCAGGTACTGCGTTATTGTCAAGATCAATGTCGGTGTATGCATTGAGATTTTGCCTCTATGGTGTATGTGACCAGTTCTGTGGGGCAAATGGCAGCGAGGTAGACGGTATGAAAAAACATTGCATAGAACAATCAAGTCGACTAAGTTTCAATGGCAAAAAGACAATGTTCGCGAAGGTGTTGGGAATGGGCTGAGCCGCGTATTTACCACTTACTATCATTCCTAGACAGTCTACTTTTAAGAATAAAAGGCGTTTTGCTACTTTCTGACACTTCAGTTCTAGTACATCATTCTAAAAGCAGGTTTCTTTTCTACATAGTAGATAAGATGTCTGTGAAGGCAATATATATTAGGTAAGGCTTCAACATACATTTTGATATCTAGATTATTGTCTTCGTCAGAAGGACTATGAAATTGTCTCGCCGGAGTGTGGGGAACTGCGGATTTTGCGATATAACTCTGGAAGGCATGATTCGACGTCCATGATTTTTGGCAGGCATATTACCGCTGTTGAGGCCGAAGTCAAGTACAAGTTTCGGCTTCGTGGGGGGTCCGTGCGTCACGTTAGTGCACCTTTTGTGTTTGTGGCTTGTTAGCAAGATAACTCAAGTATTTGTAAAATGTTGACTATAATTCTAGGTGTGGTGCTTACTATTGTCGGGACCAAGGTTAAGTTCGTTACTGAGCTTCATGGGGGGTTTCGTTGTGACTACAGGGGGCATTTTGTTAATTTTTCTTGTGAGCAGGATAACTTTTGTATGTGTGGATGGAAGTTAATGAAATTTGATAGGCATATTACTGTCGTAGTCTCCAAGATTGAGTTCAAAGATGAGAGTCGTGGAGGTCGTTATGTCCCCGTAATAGGACCTTATGTGTTTTAGAAATCCCCACCTACATCTGCTTGGAGACAGCCGACAGCTGGATATAGCCGGGAACCCCATAATGGGATGGGATCAAATGACGTTACATTGAGGGATTGTACTATAACTTCAGCAGGGGGAGGATAGGTTGGACATATGTCAGGTTATTTTCTACGGCCACACCAAGTAATTGCTATGGATGACGTCCACTGGAGACCTTAAATCTAATTACCTTAAATTTAAGGCAAGCGCGCAATAAAAACACGAAGGGCCGAAAAACGAGATGCCTAGATTTGGAATATACTAACTGTAGAAGTACAAATGTTAGGACACAAAGAACACAAGAAAC